GTGCAAGGTTAGGAACAGGGTTTGAGGTGGAGGGGATGTCAAAAGGTGGAGGTGAAGGTTGAGTAGTATTCCCTTTGAAGGGAAGAATGGTCTCATAAAAGGACACATTCCTGGAGAAAAAGACTTTCTTGTCATGTAGATCAAGAACTTTGTAACCTTTGATTCCAGCAGGTATACCTAACAGTACACACTGCCTGGCTCTTTGTGCAAACTTGGTCCTGACATGGACTAAAGTGTTGGCATACCAGAGACAACCAAACACTTTTAAGTGTCCCATAGAAGGTACCTGCTTATGCAACACTTCATAAGGGGTTCTGTTACCTAGGATAGGGGTTGGTATCCTATTAATTAGGTATACAACATGTAAAACAAAATCACTCCAATAGACCAGGGGGAGACCTGATTGGAACTTTAAACACCTAGCCACATTCAGAATGTGCTGGTGTTTTCTCTCAACCCTGCCACTCTGTTCACGGGTTTCAACACAAGAAACTTGGTGTTCAATACCCTCTTGTTGAAAGAACTCACACATATCAAACTCTTTGCCTTGATCAGTTCGGATTACTTTAACTGAGGTTTGAAACTGATTTTTCACCAGGTTACAGAAACCATGGATTAGACCCCTCACTTCACTCTTATGCTTCATCAAATACACCCATACACACCTTGAATGATCATCCACAATAGTCAAAAAGTAGGAATAACCATCATATGAAACAGTCGACAAAGGACCCCAAATATCCATGTGAACAAGATGAAAAACAGCTGGTGCAACACTGGTGCTAACAGGAAAATGTAGTTTTCTTTGTTTGGATAGGTGGCATACATCACAGTGTAATGTTTTGAACTTAGAAACTGAAGGAATTACAGAATCAAGGAAAGAAATCCTATCATGACTAGGATGTCCTAGTCTCCAGTGCCACAGGTTCAGATCTTGGGGTTGAAAGTTGTAGGTGAAGGCTGCTTGATGTGTAGGGAAGAAAGGCTTGGTGGAGCTGGAAGGATAAGCAAGGTGATACAGTCCTCTAGTTGTGTGGGCTAAACCAATCTTCTTCTGGCTTAAGAGGTCCTGGATTTCACATTTATCAGAGTGGAAGTGTAGTGAGAAAGGGTAATCATGGGTGAGTTTACTGACAGAAATCAAATTGAATGAAAAATTTGGGACAAAAAGGACTTCATGCAAGGTTAAACCACAACTTAAGTGTACTGTCCCTATATGTGTAACATGTACTTGGGTTCTATTTGGAAGGTAAACAAAGGAATCTGGAACTTACTTATAACTAGAAAAGAGTGTAAGACTACAGGCTACGTGATCTGAAGCTCCTGTGTCTACAATCCATAAGTCAGATCGACAAGGTGTAGAGGACTGGGAGGAAGAAATGATTGGTTTACCTGAAAAACTAGGAAATGAAGCTGGGTACTGGGTGGCAGAATAGGCATGGTGATTGATGGATGGTGAGGTTGGTGGGGAAGGCTGTGCGTTAGCACCAGTTTGCAGAAGAATCCTGAGGCGGTTCATCTCTTCAGGAGTAAAAGATAATGAGGCAGAAGCTTTACCTTCACTGGTTATACCACTTTCTGATGCACTGTCACTACCATTTCCCTGAGAGATGGATCCAGCAAAACGTGGTGTACTAGAGTTTGAGCTTGAACTGGAATTAGAACCCCCATTTGTGCCTCCATCCTTCTGCATTTCCTGTTTCTTCTTCAATTTCCAACAGTCTTCAATGGTATGATTGTTCATTTTGCAAAAACGGCAAAAAAAAATTCCTCTTATGTCTCTTGTGTCTGCACTATCCTTTGTGTTGTTACCTCCCACTACCAAAGCCAGACTTTGACCCTTTTTGTTTCCCATGGCTGTGTCAGCCTTCAACTTCTGCTCATGCTGCAGAAGGTCATCAACTGCTGCAGTGACAGTAGGTAGTGGTTTTTGCAACAGCAATTGCGTCTTAATGACCTCATACTCAGGGTTGAGACCTCTCAAGAAACGTATCAAGTAATCTGTTTCTTGCTTCTGCACAAAGGCAGCTACTGCTGCACAAGGTATAGGATTACCAGGTGCGCAATTACAAGGAGTAATAGGACTAAACTCGAGGTACTCATCCCATAGACCTTTGATTGCAGTGTAATACTGAGTAATTGACTTAGAACCCTGCTTGCAAGCCTGTATTTCATCTTCTAAGTTCACAGTTCTCATAGCATTAGGTTGACCAAAGCGCCTCTTTAATTCCTCCCACAGTGCTTTAGAATTGTTGTGATTCAGAATAGATCTCCTAAGTTCTTTAGTCATGGAGTTCTGAATCCAACAGACTACCACTGTGTTACAAGCATCCCATAATCCAAACAGATCTGCATCTCGAGGAGGCACTGGGATCGACCCATCTATAAACCCAACCTTATTCTTTGCCTTTAAGACAACTTGCATAGAGCGACTCCACATAATGTAGTTGGTTCCATCAAATGGTTCAGCAACTAAGGACTGAGACATGTTTTCATTCGGGTTAAGGTAATAAGGGTTACCGAAAACAATCGTCTCTGGCTGGAGTTGAGTCTGGTTGAAGGAACCAAAACGAAACCCAGCTGCTGTTGTTGTGTTTGCAGTCGTTGCTCCACTTCGATTGCTACCATCTGGTGGTGTGTTAGGTGGAGTCTGCCTTCCAGACATTTTTGCAGCGGCGGAAAAACCCTAGAGCGGCGGCTGCTCTGATACCATAACGATTTTACAGAAGTGATTGGGGAAGGAAGCTCAGAAAATTCTGAGTCTCCTCTTTTCTTTTATAGCAAGCAGAGTGTTTAACAGAGACAAGACAGGTGTCACTCTATGGTTCGACAAAACATTTAAACAAACAGTACTTATAACGGCTAATAACAAATAAAGGAAACGATGTCGTCTTCGATTCTTTCTTCCTGCGTCTTTATCAAAACGCAGTCGTCTCTTCTTCTTTCTCTTCAGCTCGTATACGATGCCGTTTTCTTCCTTTGTTTACTTCAGTCTTGTATCCTGCTGCAACCAGGAATGCAGCAGCTCAACTCACTTCTTCTCCTTTGGAGCTTGGTCTTGATCACAACTCGGACAGTTGGACAAAGATCTGAACTGCAATAAAATAAATTACTGCAGAAAGCACACGTAGAACTTGGTTTATATTTGCTACTTATAATTCGAAGCACTGGACAAGGGCTTAAATATTTCTCCTTCAAAATACACGATCTAGCTCAGAATCAAATGTTTGCAAAAATTTCACACAGTGGCTTGACTGGGCTTGATCAACTTGGTCAGCTTATCATAGTGATGTTACAGTTAGCTTCATCCAGGTACATTAGTCCATCTTTCCATGTTTCTAACTCTTGTTGCTCTACTTCATCTTCAGGTAACATAACAGAGAGAGATTCTTCCAGAAGAAGCACAAGGTAAGAATAAAACCAGGTTTGCTTGGAGTAGCGAGTTCAAAACTTTAGCTGTCTTATTAACTCAAAACAGTTTTTCCTGGCTGCTTTCAGATACACAACAAGCTAATGCTAATACATTTTCCCAACGTCATCCTAGTAATTGGGTCGATGCAACTGAGGTTGATGATGATGACGACGATGAAAATGAAATGTGTATCCAATCAACGCCTCCCTACTGTGAAGAACAATAGAAAAAGTGGTAAGATCCATTTTCTGGAATAGGGCTCTCCTGTTATGTGTTCAGCTGTAAGTGCATTGGTTCTGTTCTTAATAACCTAGATTAACTCATTATGTCTTGCTGGTTACTGAAAGTATCAAGGCTTGTACGTGTAAACTATGACCATTTAGTCACATAGGAACTTGCTTTCCGACTAATTTTAGGCCAGCTTTGTAGATGGAGACTTAATAGGGTAAAGGTCCTATTCAAACAACAAGCTTCTGGCCTTGGAACTGTTTTCACGAAATCCTGCAGCCCTTAAACTCATTCTTACAACCTTAATAATCTATCATCTCTCTCTCTTTATGACTTAAGCAGCTTCACATTTGTCTTGTTTTGAACTGTTCATCTACCATGATCCTAGAACTGAACCTTCTACTGCCTTCGCTTTCAGATTGTGTTTTCCAATTTACATTCCCAACCTGAGTTATGATATTGCAAGTGCGTACATGTCAACCTCCTTGAGTTAGGTAATGATTGACAATGACAGATGCTTCATGATCTCTCTCACATGACCACACGACACATCACAATATTTGCATTGAAGTCTAGTAGTCCAGTGTTCATTGCAATATGCATGGAAAGCATAGATACGTCTTAGTCGAAGCCCAAATGCTTTCTTAAAGTCATAGATGCTGCTCCCTTTCTTGTTTCGGCGATGCAAACCCTTTTCCCCTCATCTGCTGTCTGGAATGACTGAAATTGATTTGTTTTGATATACAGAGTGAAAAGGAGACAGAAAAATGGCGATATGATAGCAGCAGCGCTGGCAGGAAGTTGGGGACGTTGCAGACCACTCCCACCATTGAATGCGTAAGGTAAGAACATGCTCTGATGTTTTAGCTACTTACGATGTGCCATTCGTACATATTTTTAGATTCTTGTTTTAAAAAATACCCTGAAACAAGTGAGAGGGAAGTCGATTATTGCCGTTATGCAGTCCTTGTCAGAGTGCCTCTAAGCGTGCACCAAATTATTACTCGACATTTTTATTGTTGTCATTGTTTTGCTTTCTTGGGCTCTTCTCCACAAAATGCGTATTTTCCAGCTTCCACTGTGTCATATTGCGCCTGATATGTGGTGTACTGGTAATTTTTGCCATTTTTACTCGTCTATCTGTACTGGATTGATGAATTTCTCAAACCTAAAACTTGTCACGAGTTCGGTTGTTAAATTCCGGCAACGTAGAACCAGCACAAGATCCAGGATCTAGGACAAAGAGAGAGAGAGAGAGATGAGATTTTGGATCCTGGCTCTTCTCTTTCTTTCTTACCCACTTGGACTTGGCTATTAGACAAAAAACCAAGTGGCTCTGGGACTCTAGGATTAGTAAACAGATCAATAATTGAATTTCTTCCAAAAAACTCTAGTTATTGGAATTTGATAGGGTGTCATCTTGGGTCGGGTTTGGCCGTTTGGGTAATTGAACCAAAACCTGTTGGGGGTGTTACGAAGATACTCAGCGCACAGACTAAGTAATAGCGCGTCCAATCGATAACGTATGACGCTCGAAACCCGCTACGAGTATATAAAGGTATGAAACCCTCCAAGGGAGGGGACTTCTTCTCTCCTCACTTTCCACTATCTTTCTACACTTTATCTCTCTACCTTGTTCTCTTAACTCTCATGCTAAACAGAAACTAACTTGATTCGTCAGAGCTTAATCTGGGGGCATCCCCAGCTCTTTCACAGGTTTCTTCCTTCCCGACGAGATCAGACGAACGGATCGTGAGTCTAACCCCACACCAACAAATATCATTGTTCATACCTCGAGCTAGAGGGTACAAACAATTGGCGCCCACCGTGGGGCTAAGACGAGAAGATCATGTTGTCTGATTTCGGGAGGAGGAAGAAATTTGTGAAAAGGATTTGCACTAAAAAAGAAAAGAGAAAGGAGCAACACCCAGCGGAAAGCAGATAGAGAACTTTGTCCATAACAACCCTGTGATTTCGGGTTTGCTTTAGAAGCGAAGAAAACCAAAAAAAAGCTCCCAAGGAAGAACCCGCCAGGATACAGAGAAACGCTGGGAGGAAGATCGGCTCCCGTCACTACTACGAGCAGCGGTGACAAGTAACTCAGGCGAACACAGGTCGGGCACTAGGGAGAGGGAAATCGGCCTTCTTCCCACCTACCGACGGCAACACTAAGCAAAAAAAAAAAAAAGTTTAACAACAACTGAAGAACAAGAAGAAGAAAAGAAAAAAGAAATGACTGCAGGAGACAAATTTGGCGTCGGAGCTCCGATCAGGAAAAGAAGCACTGCAGTCTCCATCATAGCGAATTGTCACATAGTTATGACTTCTTCCCACAAAAAAAGGGGGTTACAACTACTTTCTCCCTATGTCAAAAAAAGAAAGGCACGAAAATCGAGACAAAATTCTACGTAAGTGGATGCCAGGCTGGAAAGTGTGCTTTAATTCTGCTGCTCTACATGGGCTCGCGCCGCAAACTGCGTCTCATGAGGTTCGCCCCACACACCAACTCGTAGTCAATGCTCGGGTCATTGAAGCCCCTCCCGTACCGCCAATTGGGCTAACATCCATCCAGCCCGCGCTCAATTGAGCCGCCTCGAGACTTCGGGGGCATCCAATCTGGCCTCCATAAGCCTTCGCATCGCTAGCTCGCAGCCCGCGTGCTTACCTCCACCAGGCCTTGTTATCTTGTGAAGCAACTCGAAAAAGACTGCCTTCACCAAGATTCGAACCCGCGTTCATTCAAGGATCAAAAGACTAGATCGCTGACCAGGGGACGGGAGCATCACGTTCATGTCTCAAAGTGCGACGCACTGTTATGAAGAGTTTACTCCGCCACAAACATCTAATGTTCGAATTTAAAACACAACCTGCACCACTTTCGACAGGCGACGCACTCCACATGGGCCACCTTCATTCTTGCAGCCCATTCCCAACAGTCCGTTCACCAACTAGTCAAGTGGGCCAATCATCAACTCGCGACCCTCTTCATTTATGGGCCACCACGCTAAAGAGCTTCAACAAATAATAAAAAATGCAATGCTCACGCACGGATTCGAAACTGTGCCATGGCTACAGAATGAAAGCACACAGACCCGTATGCTACACTCTTCGATATAAATAAGCTTTGTTCCGCCCAACTTGAACTCTCAGCCCGCCTTCAACGTCCAGGTGCGTCGAGCGTCTTATGGTTCCGACTCACCTTTATCCTCGTCTCACACAGTGTTAGTTGGGCCTGTTAGTCTCATAAATCCGCCTCTCTAGCCCGCTCCACATAAGCCCGCCCGCTTAACTGTCCCACTCCTCCTTCTGAGTGCCGCCTCACACAGAGCCCGCTCAGGCCCACCGCGACCTGCCCAGTTTGGCCGCCCACCAAGTTCCATCCGCAATGCCAAACTCACGGCCCGCGCTGCAGGCGGCCCAACTCGCGGTCCATCCTTGCTCCACTTTGCATCAAAAATATATGTTGTCGGCGCCAGAAATTGAACCCAAGTCAAGTCCATAATCAGACAAGCAACCTGACCAGCAGACTACTTACCCACATTGTGATTCATAGGCGCAAAGTTCTTATTTTAATACTCTTCCTGCCGCTTCGCCAAAATAAAGTTAAGTACTCTATCTCTCTAAATTTTTTACTTTGATTTTAAATATTGGATTCTCATGAACCCTATTGGGGGCAAAGACATACCAAATTACATGGGAGATGAAAAACTCAATCAAGCGACATATGATCACGGCCCGCGCCTCGACTAGTAAATGCCATGAAGAATCTACAATGGGTGAGGGCTAATAATCACGGCCCGTGCCTCGACTAGTCAATGTTATGCCCTCACCAAACGCTCGACGCCTTGAAGACTCCATGAAGAATCTACAATGGGTGAGGGCTAATAATCACGGCCCGTGCCTCGACTAGTCAATGCCATGCCCTCACCAAGCACTCGACACCTTGAAGACTCCAAACTGAGGGTACATAAACCCAGACGAGGAGAGCGCACAACGCCTTAGTGAATCTAAAATATGGGAGCGCTCGACTACCTCCATTCATGTAAGACTCGAATGAAGCACACAAATAAGACTTCGATAAGAGCATTAGTGAATCTACAAATATGGGAGCGCTCGACTACCTACATTCATGTAAGACTCGACTAAAGCACACAAATAAGACTTCAATAAGAGCATTGGAGAATCTACAAATATGGGAGCGTTCGACTACCTCCATTCATGTAAGACTCGACTGAAAGCACACAAATAAGACTTCGATAAGAGCATTGGTAAATCTACAATATGAGAGTGTTCAACTACCTCTATCTCCAATAAAGGGCACTAAACGTGCGCGGTAACCCCGTAACGTAATTGTGCGGCTATCACAAGCGCACCAATGAAAGAGGGCACACTTGTGTGTGCGTGAAGAACTCCAATAGGAGAGTGCTCAATACCTTGAAAAATTTTCAACAAGCAATTGCTCAGCGCCTTGGAGATTCCAATAGAAGAGTGCTCAACGGCTTAATGAAATACACCAACTGGGGGGCATGACGCAGGATGTTGGCACCGTGACAGCCAAACGCGCCACCAGCTGGGGGGCAACTGGGGTACATAGGGCTCCATCCAAAATTATCGATGAAGATTTAAATAAAAAAAAGCTAGCGATGAGTTAAAACTCACCACCAGCTTGGGGGGGGGGGGGCAATTGTTGGGGGGTGTTACTAAGATACTCCGCGCACAGACTAAGTAATAGCGCGTCCAATCGATAACGTATGACGCTCGAAACCCGCTACTAGTGTATAAAGGTATGAAACCCTCCAAGGGAGGGGACTTCTTTTCTCTCCTCACTTTCCACTATCTATCTACACTTTATCTCTCTACCTTGTTCTCTCAACTCTCATGCTAAACAGAAACTAACTTGATTCGTTGGAGCTTAATCCTCGGGGCATCCCCGGCTCTTTCACAGGTTTCTTCCCTCCCGACGAGATCAAACGAACAGATCGTGAGTCGAACCCCACACCAACAAATATCATTGTTCATACCTCGAGCTGGAGGGTACAAACAAAACCCAATGTACCCGAAAACCTGAAACCACCCCTTTGAAAATCAAAACCGAAAATCTTTCTGTTGAAACTAACCGAAAATGAAGCACTCTCCAAGCAGGTCCTTATCCATCCAACTAATTGAGCAGAGAACCCCATAACATTCATCACAACATACAATTAAGAATCCCTAATTTACCCTATCAAATGAATTCATAACATCTGTTTTCTGTGGATAATGTGGAGATGTATTCTTAAGAAAATGAAATTTATACACAGTTCATATCCATTTAAAATAAACTATAAAAATTCCAATGGATATATACTTCAGTCATACCGTATTTATGATCACTGAATTTAATTGAGTTTAGTCAAAATTGTATATAAATGAGTCATTCCTATCGCCATGGTTTAAAGAGCAAATGTTAAAATATGGGTATATTTTATGTGAAAGGGGAAAAGGAAGGAGAAAAGATAGCACAGCTAGGGTTGCAAATGAGTCGAGTTGCTCGTGAGCGATTCGACGCTCAATTCGAGAAAAGTTCGTTCAAAATTCGACTAGTTTATTAATGAGTCGAGTTTGAGCTTAGCCTTCTGCAAATATGAAGTTTAACATGTAGATTATGTGGGCAAATATGTCTTATTTAATTTTAAAAATAATTTATATATCATAGATTGCTTCGATACTATGAATAACATAATTTCATTAGTTAAATGGATCTGGTTGGCTCAGGATGTGAGAGATCTTGAGTTCGATCCCCAGCGGCGCCGTTTGTGTGTTCACGGAGGCATGCCTGAGTGCCGGGGACGAAGTCTCACGTGTTGTGTCTTGTATAGGTGCTCCCCAGGTTTAGTAGATCACGCTGTCACAAAGTGGCATGTGGGGTTGAGATTCATGGGTCATAAAAAAAATTATTAACTAAATGTTGATATCACAAAGTATAAAATGAGATTAGTTAATATTGAACACTTAACTTTTATTATTATTATTATTATTATTATTATTTTAATATTGATATTAATCACATGTATCATGTATGGCATAGAATATATCAAATACGAGTCAAGATTTTACTAAGCGAGTTAATTCGAACTGGATTCGGCTCGTCAAACTGGGATAAAACTCGACTCGGCTCATTTGCCGCGGTAAGCACAGCTGGGTAGGGAGACTGGTGGGCAGGGGTGAACAAACACACTCGCAAACCGACCCACCCGTCCAATCCGACCCAACCCACCCGTATTTATCGCTAAAACGAAGGTTTTGTGTTGGGTGAGGGTTTTCTTTTGTACAACCCGCCTCTTTTGGGTTGGGTTTGGATTTTGGATTACACAACCCGTAGAACCTGATCCAACCCGTGTTCCAACTATTAGTATGAGTTCGTATCTAAAAATATTTATGTCGTATATAGTCATACTTATGAGAAAATTAAGATATTTCGCCATGTTTTCCTATCATGGTCTCCCTAATCTAATGCATTCTTCGACTTGAAGTTTAGACATAAATTAAATATAGTTATGATTCACTTAATCTTTTTTTTTTTGTACAATTTTAATAGAATAATATATTATGGATGCGTTTGTTTATAACCTTTTTAGCCTATTTCAACAAATATCGTGAAAAAAACTAGACATATGTTGAAGTAAATCACATTTTATTAAAATTCAAATAACATTTGTGAATTTTGATACCTTTCACCTCGGTTTATTCGTTTGAAATTTTAATTAGTTATAAAATATTTTTATGATGTATAATAATTATATATTATATGTTGGGTTGGGTTGGGTTGGGTTTTTACTTAAAAATATAGCGAACCCGATCCAACACAATTAGAAACAAACCGTAGGGTTTAAATATTTTTGGGTGGGTTGGGTTTGATAATTCTCAAACCGTAGTGTATGAGTCGGGATTAAAATGATTAAACCCGGACCAACCAACTCATGTACACCCATAGTGGTGGGGTGGGGGTTAGTTTAAGAACAAGAATTTACATACACCGTTCTGTGCTGGTGGCCCCACATCTCCAACGGCTACGTGCGCGTCACCTTTGTTAAGTTAACGCCGTTTAATGCTTCCTTACAGCAGGACCCTGACTCTTTCATTTTGCCAATTCTTTATGGCATTGATGATTAAAAAAAAATTGAATATTTTATTTTCACGAGATTGTTTTTAGTTTTACTCACTCTTCCTTCTCGTAGACTGTACTTGTAGACCGTTGTAAGTTGGGATCATTTCAAAATATTTATGTGCGGGCGCGTCCAGCATGGGGACTCATTTGATCTTGCCCACCTCCACCACCATCTTTGGTCTTGTGTTTCACGGGTATGACCTTCCTTCTTCCCTATATATATATACACAACACAAGTAGTGGTAAAAACATTCTCACATTTCCCCACCCACGGCTACATTTATTTAGGTGAGGAGGGTGAATGAACCAACTCACTCTTTGGAGATAGGGGGGTTTACTATAGATTAGGTGGAAAATTTAGTGATTCCCATGAAGCAAGAAAGAGGGAGGTTTGATTGTTAATGAATATGGGAGGGTATACTTCTTACTGCAATTAATACAGTCAAAAAGTGCTATTTTTTCTATGTATATGTGTTTTGGTGACTTACAAGAGTCGAATCGTAAGTTTCAAAACGCGATTTTGACTACATTAGATAGGAAAAGTGTGATTCTACAGTGAAAATTTTGGTAACTTAGAAACATAAACGAGTAAACATCCAACTTTTAAAGCGTAATTTTGACTAATGCAACCATCTAATTTAATGTGATTGCTATATGGAGCACATGTTGCAAGAGTACTATTTCACATATACATGATAATTTTTGGAATGATTATGGATGTTTAGCTTACTTAAGCTTTAGGATTGAAATGTTACTCTTGGTCCCTTACCTGTTATTAGGTGGGAAATCTAGTGATTCGCATGAAGCAAGAAAGAGAGAGATGAGTTGATATGGAAGCGAGGCTTGATTGTTAATGAATATGGGAGTGTGTAGTACTTACTGCGACCATCTAATTTGAATCGATCATAGTAAATTTTTTATTCAACATGTTGCAAGAGTAGTATTTTTCATATACGCGATAGATAGGTTTCGGAATGATTATAGATGTTTAGCTTACTTAAGCTTCAGGATTAATGCTACTTTTGGTCCCTTAGCTACTATTAGCCCCTCGACTTTAGGATTAGGATAAAGTGTTTTCGGGTGAGTATGATTTAGGAAATGTCATGCCAACATGATCCGGTATAACTGATAGGGGTCTCGCATTCATTTTCTAACTATATTTTTCTGAACTAATACAAATACATTTCAAACAGTATATTAATTAAGAAGACAAACAAAATCAACTTACAGGCAGGCGGCCAACCACGCCCTAGAAAAAAGTAGAAGAGGGGTTTGATTAACTATTGGTTCTTAATTAATTATGTTTGGGGATTTGGGGGATGGATGAAGAAGACGTGGCAGCGCGCAAACGCGTTTGCTAGCGGAGGGAAAGGAAGACTAGACAGGGAGAGAGCAAAGCAAAACGTGTTTTGGTTAAGCCGAGCCGAGGGATTCTTTTGTAGGGAAGGGAAAGGAACTGTTTGGGGTTAGGTCGCGAACAAAAGAATGGCTGCCGTCTTCCTCCTTTCCTTTTCTCCATTACAATTATCCAATTGCTCTACAAGACAGGGAGAGGTCTGGAATGGAGGCAAGGGGGAAAAGACAAAGCAGTCAACCCAGTCCCCATACCTAATATTAGCCACTAGGATAACAATGATTGAAGCTGATTTTCATATATATCATTCTCAAATCACGGCTTTAAAATGAGAATCATTCTTGTAACTCGTAACAAAAAATGCTTGGGATGTTATATGTCATATCAAAACTAACCAATATGTGGTTCGGGAAAAAAAACTACCTGCACCATCCTTGAAAAATCATGTGTAAAGTTTTTTTATTAATCTAAATTTTTTCTTCGAATGTCGATGTAAAATGAAGTTTCTTTGTCACATTGTTTGTAAGACTGAGAGAAAATGAAAAAGATTTGAGTTCTAAGAGATAATTATTATGATTAGGGATATGGATGAACCAAGTGTTAAAGACTTAAAGTGAACGAGTCTTAAACATAGTTATAATACATATTTGGGTGAGTTCGGTGCAGATACTTAAAATTCCAAAATCACACCAAACTCATTATCTCTTTGCCGAATTCAACAAAACTCCACTCAATTGTAATATCGATTGGGTCTTCCAAACAAAATATATTCGAAATCGATTGGATACCCAATTTTGTTATCCGTAAAAGCGCACCAAATGGGTGGAGCTTACAAAAATGCTCATGTTTGCTCCTCTTAACTACCGAGTTGACATTTCTCGACCTGCAGGCAGGCAGCAACTAGTGGTTGTTGGGCAGTCTCAAACACAAAACAAAAAATGATATTCATAATTAGAGTAGTTGTTGTCTACGATTTCCCCTTCCATTTCTTGCTTCTGAGATTATACATCATCAACAAGTCCAATTCTTATACTGGTTTGCATTTGGCCATGCCTGTTTCCCAATGAGGAACGGGTAAACCACTTCGAATTTGGGTGCATATCATACATTTAATCACATAATGGTTACTTTTATCATTCGATTTTTCAAAATGAGATCTTAATCTTCAATTGTAACATGAAAATTGTTCGTATATTAAGCATTTGTGAACTTGCTCTATACAATTTCAAGAATTCAATCTAAAGGACCATTATAAGAACAAAATTATGATGGAAAATGTATGAATTAGCAGTAAATTCTAGGCTGTACCTTCATGATAAAGAAATCTTGACAATTAAATTTAAAATTTGGTGATAAGAGTATGCACTTAGTCAAAGATGTATTGTAAACACACCCCGAGATTGCGATGGGGTGGGTTTGTCTAAATCATCTGTATGCTCATTTTCAAATATACAAACACATACTCGTCGCATACCCATGCAGGGAGAGGACTTGAAATCTCATCCCCACACCCACGATTTTTGTGTATCAGTGGGTCATACCTGCACCATATATCCAATATTACGATGCCTAGAATTCAGCATGCAGACTTTTCGTTATAACACTAAACATGCCTAATAAGTCATGAAATTAACAAAGCTACGATCCTTCATATAATCACGAATTCCAAACGTTCAATCTTAAAACATTCATTAATCCAGAAAATGTGCAATATTATTTAAATCATTCATCTCCAACTCCACGTATATACTAAGCAATAAATAACTAACATAATATTGTTAACAAGATAGAAAGAAGTGGAAGAGTGAAGGGTGGGTGGAGGAAAAGAAATTAGTGTTTGGCTCTAAAACCACGCTTGCCTCATCTGGTCATCCCACTCAAATTTTTTTTGGGTTTTACCCATACCCGTTTCTTGTCCAATCAATGTGGAAAGTTACTTTATTGACTGAATCGGGTGCGGTTGAGTACCTATTGTTTGAGCCTAACTGGGTGTAGGAGTGAGACTCGGGAAGATGGGTCAAGGAGAGTAAGCAATAAGAAAATAACTGTCAACGGAAGAACTGAGGAGAGAATGAATGGAGTTAAGAGGGTGATATCTTAGAGAGAGAAGTTGATAATTCATAGAGATAGAGTCTGAAAAATCTGATCCCCTCACCCACCGGAGTAAATGCCGTATTTATAGGCTACATGGTGGTGGGTGAGTTACATGATGGCATGGTTACATGACTACTGACATGTCAAAAGCATAGGCCACATCCCTACTTAGGAAAAGACCTTTAGCCATGACTATACCTAGGACTATGATGGTGACTACTCTTTGAGTGACGCGGCGCCGCTTTCATGGTCTCTTGGTCAAGGTCAACATCTGACCAAAGCGTCGTCGTTCGGTGTCCGGGCGCAGCCTCCGGGCGCGGTTCTTGCTCGCGTGCCTGACTCTTGCGTGAGCGCCGTTGGGATGTTTCTTTGGCGTGGTGAGATCCGAGTCACATGCCCAACACCTATGATGATGAGTTTGATTGTCGTCCCTACCTAAATTTGATAATGTCAATTTATATGATTAATTGCAATGTGGGGGAAGGGTAAGAAAATTTTGCATTCTTCTTTCAAAGCCAAAAAAATGAAAACCATTCTCTTCTTTGTTTGTATATCTAGTTCAAATGACATTTCCAAGCGTTAGTTGTAATCCACCATTATCATAATTATATTTTCCTAATACGTTGAATGTTTAGCATCTAATTCCTCAACATGACATTTGTTTAATCTTGAAATACCCTCTCATGCTCACAAAGTAAAAAATTTCACCTAACCCCATCCATCTCAAGCAAGGTTGTCAAACCGGTTTATGCTAGTGTGCTGGTTTAGCAAGTGGAATGGTTCGACCAGTGGCACATACCGGTTTGTGCCGGTGAATATTACAAATAAAATTATAAATACTCATATTTAAACATGACATTTAATGCCAATACCTAAACATTTATACTTGAATCCAACAAATAACATCAATATTTAACTTTTATACTCATAAAATAAATAATAAAATAATATTTATCAATTAAATTTGCTAAAATAATGTCATTTTACTTAGAGATTCGTATCTCGATAATGCCGATTATACCGGTGGTGTCACGCCGATTTTATGACCGGTATCGGTTGAACCTGGTACAACCGGTGGCACGCCGGCCGGCATGACAACCATGATCTCAAGTAAAATGACCCATCCACCAATTTGATTGGATTGGAGTACCACTTTTTTGTCAAATGATTTTATTACCAAATCAAACCTTCACATTCACACATCTAATCTCATCTATTTCCTCCACTTTAATTAATGTTTTCAAAAAGCCATATGATTAGTGCCCTCCCAAATTTCTCTCAACCCTTTTGAGTGGTTCCCCACAAACTAAGAAAAGAAAAACAAATTGTGGCATTTTGGTAAAATGGAGTTGATACCAAAGTCAATAATTCAGAGTCTTTGAGCTGGCCAGGTTTATAAGTCCCCTCCTCTAACCTCAACTAGCCCTTAGCTGGTTTTTCTTTCAACACACCACCAAAGGAAAGAATAAAAGAAGACACCTCCCAAAAGAAAACTCATAAAGAAAGCCAAATCAGAGCATCTCAAAACAGAACCCAGAGGGGAGAGTTAAAGGAGGAGGCACCAAAGAAGAAGAAGAAGAAGAACCCATTGGGCTAACAAGAGAGCCCTTTGAGAAAGAAGAAGGGGGGAACAAGGAAGAAGAAGCTGTTTCTCCACTTGGGTTTTGCTAAAGATTTGTTCTTTTTGAGGTATAGAAATGGCCGGCAGCAATTTGATTTGTGTCATCTTCATGATGCTGCTGGTTAGCTTGTCTCCGGCGGCCGTTCAGGCGAGCGGCGGTGGTGGTGGAGTGGAAGGCTGGTTACCACTCAGATCTTCATCGGAAGGGTTGATTTCTGATGTAATGGCTGCCGATGGGGAGGAGTTCGCCATGGATTCAGAGATCAGCAGGAGGGTTCTGCAGTCGTCTGGCAGGTACATAAGCTATGGAGCTCTCCAGAGAAACACTGTTCCTTGCTCGAGGCGTGGCGCTTCTTACTACAATTGCCGGGCTGGAGCTCAGGCCAACCCTTACTCCCGTGGCTGCAGCGCCATTACCAGGTGCAGAAGCTAAAAAGTAAAGAAAGATTGGAACTTCCTCTTCTTCTTTCTTATAACCTCTTGTTTGTAATTTATTTCTCTCTTTTTTATATTTTTGGGTTCTTTTCTTTCTACATTTTTTTTCTCTTTTTTTGGATTTGATTGTCATACTTGGAGGTGGATGAACAAGGAATGAAAGAGAGTGAGAGCTCGTTGGTGAGATGGCGGTGGATGGTTATTATTGATGGAAATATATTGTTGTTGTTATAATTTTACGGCTTCTCAATTTGGCTTTTGTAAAAGATTATACTGCTTTATTGCTATTCTTTGTTCTTCCTTCTGGTTTCTGGATTTAGCTTTGATAAAGTTGCAGTCTTGAAGGGAAGATCCTGTCATCTTTCTTATTCTGTCACTGGGGATTGCATAGATTCCTTCTTTTGTTCCTTTGGATAGTTGGATTAGGGATATGATTTGAGGTCTCCAAATTGCGTTGTTTACTTCTCAAATTGCCTTCTCCTACCCTCGATCTTTAGATTAGGGATTCAGTAGTTCCTCCCAATTGGTTCTATGTTCTTGTCAATTGCCGTCCCCTTTTGCTAACCTTCACCTAAGGATTGATTTATGTCCTCAATTGGTTCTAATGTGCTTGTCAATTGTCTTTAAACTTGGGATTCATTAGTTCTCCAAGTAGTCTGTTGATGAAAGAATTCTCTGAGAAAGTTCAACACTTTTAGAGGAGGAAGGTTGGGTCTCTGTTTGGTTGTTGCCCTTGGCCTCAGTTTTTTCAAGTTAAAGTCTGTTGGAAGGGGGGAAAGCAATTCCTAGATTCCACCACCTTCTCCTTTCTTGCCCACTTTTAGGGTTCAGTGGAATTCCAAATCAGAAATCTGAAATTGTGAGTGGTTTCTGGGTTCCAAGATACATCCACTTCATGTTCTTCCATCAAAAGGTGGACTGAACAAAAGATTTGGCAGCAGATTGATTGAGTGGTAGAGAATAAAGTCAGGCATGGGAAGGAAAAGGAAGGAAAAGAAAGCTGGCTGCTGCTGACCTGGCAAAAGTTGGTATCGTTCTGGCCAGTTGTTCTTTTGGCTAACAATATAGGCATATGTTGTTTTCTTTTTAGTTTTTACATTGTCAAAACCTCACACAGACACGCACCAAAGAATATCCCTTGCCATTTCATTTTTAAAAAATTTGCTGCCTAGCAACCAAAAAAGGAAGCTGCTCTTGCTCCGAATGGATTCCCGAGCGGCGATTCAGATCATAGAGGCAGCCACCAATACCCACCCACATTATCATATTGTGTTGCAGTTGAGGCGAATGATGCAACGCAACTGGGAGGTGCGGATCGAGCATATTTACAGGGAGGGCAACATAGTGGCGGATTTCTTGGCCTCGACAGCCGATAGAGCATGCTTTACAGGTCGGGACTCATCCGATTCTGGTCCCCGACCAGCGGTTGCAGCATTGACTTCTCTTTGATCTTGTAGGGAGTCAAACTCCCAGACTCATTTCCCATTAGCTGTTAGGGCACTCTGTCGCCCGTTTTCTTACAACAACAACAACAACAACAAAAAAAAAAAAAAGAAGTTGCTTCATAGCTCTCATCCAGATGCTTTCAACAACAACTCAACTTGGTAAAAGGGGTTTGCAATAGGCGCGTAATTCAATCCGCGACCACTGATCGATATCAATCGCATCAGAATTTGTTGACTAAAACGTGACAAACTAGAACAAAGTTATTTGAATCAGTAACGTATAACGCAGATAATCATGTTGACGACAGGCTAGTTTCTTAACCGCAGTTGAAAATCTTGGTAGCCAAACTGGATCTATTGTTTATAATCTTTTAGGATTCTTATGGGGTTAGGGTTGTGTTTCTGCAAGGTATCTTACTGTGAGACAGAATTAACAAAAGAAAACAATATGGGGCTGGCATGCCAGGCAGCTCATATTTCTCTGTGAGAATATTTGAACAGGTCAGACTAAATAATTTTAAAAAAATTCCTGAAATGTAAATGCCAAGCTGGATTTGATTCCCTAACGAAATCAGAACTTGTATGATTTATCGCCCCATTAATTAATTTATAGAAATAAAATGTAAGTCGCAACTGTAACGGGCATAGTTTTATTACATACTAATGGAAAAATACACAGTTTGGGCCCTTCGTATTTTCATCGTTAATCTTCTTCCAGTCATGGGCTTAGTCTTGGGTTTTTGGACGATAAGGAATCACATTACCCACTAGCACTGGGCCCGCCCCGTTGGGCGGATAACTTGTGCATACTCGTATCATTTCATAAATATTGAAATATAAATTCTAACCTGTACATACTCGTATCATTTGATAAATGTTGAAATATAAATCCAATTGAAAATGGTTAATTTTTTTTTGTAACTTTTTGTAATAAAATGGTGATTGTACAAAATTTTAGCTCTGTATTTATTAATACCTATGAAAGTTTTATCTAAAAATGGTTGTATGGAAGTGTTTATGGGAGAAGCCGAAATTAAATTTTCCATGCGGATAGAGCCACTCAATATTTATTATGAAGATGAATTAAAAGAATTTATTTGTACTTTTACAAACAACAATAATAAGTATCATCCCTAATGTATTGAAAAAATGTTATATGATATGAACGGAAAAAAAGTAATAGGAAAAAATACTTGGGCCACTAATCCTACAGTCCGATTGATTTTCAGCCCGTAAAAGAATGGGCCAATACTTGAGCCACCAGATTGAATGACCAGGAAAGTGGGACCAAGGCCGAAGCGTGTACCGTCATTCACGTACCAACAATCGATGTCACAAATAATAATTATAGTTCTAAATCATACATAAAATATTTCAAACATAAAAAATATTAAGATTATATTAATTATTATAAAGAGTAAAAATTGTATAATAAGGTTAATTATAACTCATTTAATGACCTATAAATTGATCAACACATCAGATCCAAAACTGACGAAATGAACATCACATTAAACTCCATATTGTCTCATTATTGTTTGGACCATTCATGCCCGATTAGCAAGAGTTCAATTTTTAGCAGTTAACTAGGCTAAAATTTTAGAGAACCAATCACCTATAGTTTGTACAAAATATTATTGTTTCGGATTAGTTCTGAAAATTAATATTAACTTAAAGAATTCTACATCGTTTTTGCATATTCAATACTGCAGTTTGATATGCAATATTTCAAACAATGAAATTTGTGTTGCAATTTTAAGATTACCCGTCATTTTACAGGTTATAAAAATTATAAATCACGTATTAAACTTTGCTTTTTAGAAAATTTAATAGGCTAGCTAACCGTGAAAAGTCCTCTGCTTTTCAAATCTTCGCTTAGTGCATGTTTACAATTTAAGAAGATAAAACAAATTTGTTTAGTGTGATATATTTTATAGAAAGAGTTTCTTCAACCAAGTAGGAAATGAATTTTACCTGAAATTATTATATCTTATAAGAAGTTATTAAGTGTGAAATCGGAACTCAAGTAATATTGATTCTAACATTAAATAATAAATTGTATGTGTAGTTCAGTTTAGAAAAAATACATATGTGTAACCAAAACATGGATCTTTGTGACAAATATAGTAACTTTTTTGTCACAAATCTACACATAATATAAAGATAAATTGGGCACTATGACGATAAAGAGCTTCCTAGAATCACTCTCAATCCACGAAATTTGAAATGAGACACTCAGTTTCCAATTTTTTCATTATATTATGTGTAGATTTGTCATAAAAAGTGATTATACTCGTTACAAAACTCCATGTTTTGGTTACACTTCTGTATTTTGTCTAAACTAAACAACACATACAATTTAATATTAATGTTTGAATCAACACTACTTGAGTTCCGATTTCAAAACTAATCTCTTTCAATAAAATATAAATAACTTAAGATAAAATATAAATATAGAAGCATCATCACCAAACATATTGCTAGAGTTTAATCAAAGAAATAACAATAAATAAAATGTAGTCTAGTTGGCTACAATGTTTTTTCTTCATTTAAGTTGCCAATGTTAGAACTCCAATGATAACATTTTTAAAATATAAACATGAACTGGGTGCAATGAAAAAAATGACATTTTTAGAATCACTCTCATGCCACGAAATTCGAAATGAGAGAATTCCAACTCATGTTTTGCCTTTATGTATTTTGTAGAAAATTGAGTTGCTTCGTGGAAGGAAATTCGATTCAAGACCAATTTGTTACTGAAATCATCATTTTGCACCAGTCCAACAACAACATTAAGGGTCAATTATGGATCGTGTTAAAGGGCAACGCAACGTTCTTTAGGAACGGATCAAACTGAACTGAATCAAATATGGATTGGAGCTATTTGAATCCAATCAATTGGGTGTAGATTTTGTTATTGGAAATTCCTACAATACCTTGAACTTATTGTAACTTGATGTTTTTGACCTGCTATAACAGGTTTCACAAGTTGCATTACGTAAAATACAATAGGCATTACGTAATGGTTACGTAACGTGTGTTTATCTTACGTAATAGTCGAAAAATGTCATTACGGAAACCTTACGTAATAGACACTCATTTTAGGTAATGAATATTAACCTTTCGTTACGTAATGTGTTAAATCATTACGGAAGACTTACGTAACGCTTCTAATTTAACTGTTACGTAAGAAATAACTACCGTTGCGTAACCTTTACGTAATAGATGCATACTTTACGTAACAGTTGTAAACTAACAAGCAATACGTAATTGTTACGTAATAAATATTAGTTTTACGTAATGTGAGCTATAAAACCTGCTATATCAAGTAAAAAAGGTCAAGTTATAGTAACTTCAATGCTTTTACGTAATGAGTGTGTATTTTATGTAATCTTTACGTAATGAGTGTGTATTTTATGTAACCGTTGTAAAATGTCATTACGGAAGCCTTACGTAATAGACAATGCTTTTACGTAATGAATATTTACCTAGATTTACGTAAAATGATAAGGCGTTACAGAAACCTTCCGTAACGCTTCTAGTTTAACTGTTACGTAAAACTAACAAGCAATACGTAATTGTTACGTAATAAATATTAGTTTTACGTAATGTGAGCTATAAAACCTGCTATATCAAGTAAAAAAGGTCAAGTTATAGTAACTTCAATCAGGGGCGGACCCAGGGGGTTTAGGGGTGTCCCCGGACACCCCTAAATTTTGGGAAAACGATTATCCAACCCCCAGTGATAATTTACGTATGGACAAAAAAAAAATATAATTGATAGTGAGGGACACCCCTTAAATCTGAAAAAATGATTATCCTACTTTCATTTGTGTATAGGAATATCAGTGGTAGTTTGGATAATTTAAATCTAGAACACTATTATTATTAATAAACTTAATTTCCGTTGAACTAAACTCATTTGTTGTTCGATTTTGAACAATGTGTAATAGTAAAATGGCATTCCCTGTCTCTAATTATCTTAAAAACCTAACAATTAAACTAATTTCAAACTACCCTTAATTTGTATTGATTTTATGATTGTACGACAAGTGTTGAAAGAGTCTTTCAGCTTTGGGTTACATCAAGAACAAGTTTACAAATCGAATATGCGATAAGTTCGTGAATGATTGTCTAGTAGTGTATATAGAGACAATTTTTTTAAACACTATAGACACCAAGTGTATTCTACAATTATTTCCGAATATGAAAACACATCATGGACTTTTTTAACCTGTATGAGCAAGATATTTTTCATATTTACAATTTTATTTTTATTAATTATTTATTTTTATTTAATTTATTTTTTAAAAGAGGACACCCCTATAAAAAAATTCTGGATCCGCCACTGACTTCAATGCATGGTAGGAGGTCGCTTTGTTATTTAGCGTGTATTGTGATTGATTATTTTCTAACTTTTTTGAAAATGGCCGGAGTTGTTGGGTAATTAGATGAATGAGTTTGTTCTAGGTATCGGTCCCATAGAATAAGTGAACGGCTATTTGCCGCCAATCAAATTGCTATTTGCCGCCAACTAAAAAAAAAAAAGGAATTCAAAATTTGAATTTTCTCTTCCTTCCCAGTGCCTCCGTCGCCGGTAAAAAAAAAAAAATTTTAAATTTGAATTTTCCCTTCCTTCCTAGTGCCTCCGTCGCCGGCACCATTCTTCCGTCGTCGGCTAACCTCCCGTCGCCCTCAATCGTCGGAAAACAAGTAAGTTTACTTTTTCCGGCCAGTTTTCCAGTTTTCCGGTAAGTTTTCTAGTTTTCCGGCGAAAGACACGGCGGGCCGAAAAAAAATTGCGGCCCGAACGTCGCCGAGCCGAAAAAAATTTGTGGCCGGGACGACGGCCGGCCGAAAAATTCTTTCGGCCCGGCGACGCCACGGCCGCAAATTTTTTTCGGCCGGTCGCCGAACACGCCGGCCAAAAATTTTCCGGCGGCGTGCTCGTCGGCCGGCCGAAAAAAATTTGCGGCTGGAGCGACGTCGGGCCGAAAGAATTTTTTTCGGCCGGTCGCCGAACACGCCGGCCAAAAATTTTCCGGCGGCGTGTTCGTCGGCCGGTCGAAAAAAATTTGCGGCAGTGGCGTCGCCGGGCCGAAAGAATTTTTCGGCCGGCCGTCGTCCCGGCCACAAATTTTTTTCGGCTCGGCGACGTTCGGGCCGCAATTTTTTTTCGGCCCGCCGTGTTTTTCGCCGGAAAACTGGAAAATTGGCCGGAAAAAGTAAACTTACTTGTTTTCCGACGATTGAGGGCGACGGGAGGTTAGCCGACGACGGAAGAACGGTGCCGGCGACCGACGATTGACTTGCCTCGCGCCCGATCTTCGTCCAATCGACCCCGAACTCGCTAGAAATCCATAATGAAATTCATAAGTTCATAATGACACTAGGGTCATTAAAAATACAACTAGAAAAACAACAACATATAAATAGAGCATTGCAACACGACACACGATTTACGTGGTTCACTAACACGAAGTATTTATAGTACTTCTCCATGTGGGTCTAAACCTAATCCAATATGACAAAGGAAACGGTTACAGATCAGGCCCAGAACCCGAACCCAAATAACATTGAGCCCATACACCGTGGGCCGGGGGCGTTGCCCCTGGACCCCACTCGCTGACCGGGCAGCGAGACCCCCGATTACCAGTCGTAGCGGCTGATAGTCCGATTCAAGTCACATCAACAAAGGGTTTAGGGTTCAGGGTTCACTTAGGGTTTAGGGTTTAGGGTTTGAAACACATGGTTCGTGTAGCACTTTGCCCACATTGTCTGATGGTTAGTGATGATTCATGGATGCGTGTACGCATTATATGTCGAGGATAGGCTTTCCCGATGATTTTCCGACGACTTTTCCGGCGAGCGTTGAATTTTTCTGATTCAATACGTTCTCTGAAAGTTGGATATGTTGTCGATTGTGAAACTCCTTAACCAAAGATGTATATATATACATTTTTTTTCATCGATGATTTTCCGGCGACTTTTCCGGCGACTTTTCCGGCGAGCGTTGAATTTTTCTGATTAAATACGTTCTCTGAAAGTTGGATATGTTGTAGATTGTGAAACTCCTTAACCAAAGATGCATATATATACTCTTTTTTTTTTGGTTGGCGGCAAATAGCAAGCCCCTAGAAAAGAAATAAAGGGATATGATTGAAATGAGAAGGAACAAATCAGAACTTATATGTATTTTGACCCTTATTATGATGCCTCGTCTTTTCATCATATTGATATGATCTTATACCATTACGGGATCGTTCCATGCACACTTTAGTGAAAAATATGCTCATCGTACTAAGCTATTTAACATGCTATGCACTGAAGTTCAATATATAACAACTAAAGCACTAAAATCTTATTTCTCAACCAGCATTAGCAATCTTGGTCTTCGAGTTTCGGGTATTCACGGTTATCCATAGATAATAATTAATCTTTATAACTCCAACTAATATGTTAACATTCATACATATACTCACATTTCATATTACATAAGTGGAAAAGTACTACAATAAATCACTAGAGTGAAGAAAATCAATTAAGAACAACACAATTTCATAAAAATATTATATTTGTATGTTAAATATCAAATATGTTGAGAAAAATAACAATCATATTCTAGACAAAATACATAAATATGTGTATAATCGGTCGGGTTCGGGTTGGATAATACGAAAACCATGCACGTCCATTAATCACAGTATTCGGACTCGGATTTTATACGTACCCATTGAATATCTTTTAAATTCGAGTTTTACCTTACCCAATTAGATGGAATTATGCATGTGTAAAATTCTTATCAAGCAAACTCGGGCTAGTCACCAATTTGATTGATGGACCCGCTTATCTTTGCCGCATTAGGCATTAAACCCAAACTTCTTAGACACACTGAAGCACAAAATCATTAGGCTACCATGGGGAGCGGATCAGGTCACTAACTCTATGGTGAGTAACCATGAGTAACTTGTCCACGTCAGTATGACATCAGTAGCCTCTCTCTCATGAAAAGTCTTTTATCTTTTCCCCTTTAATCTTTAACAGACGATTTCTCTTTCGTTTTATGTCGAATTTTAATTTTTTTGCACAGATAAATCAGATTAAATATGCTCTTCAAAATGATATCCACTTTGATATATTTTTAGTACATTAACTGTCATTTACGACTTTCATCATTGTTTACTACAAGTTACCAATCACATACCATAATGGTAAAGTATGATAATTTTTGATTCAGTATTTTTTTCACCCATAAATTTATAGATCCAATAGATCATCATTAACTCGTTCCTTCTGAGCAAACGTTTTCAAAAACGACTTAAAAACGAAGAAGTTACCATATGGTATGTAGTTGGTTAAAAAAAAAGTTTCTCGAAATATATTGAAAATTGATCTCATTTTGTAGAGCACAACGAACTCGTTCCATCTGTGCAATTTTTTTTTTTTTTGAAATCCGAGTTAGAACAAAGAAGATAAGAGCCAATTAAGAAAACTAGGGAAAAATAAAATGTCTTTAATTGACAACTCTTAGATTTGAATTTTCTGGACCCACTTAAATCTAAAGGTCCAGATTTAGTTACCGATAAGTTCCTAGGTTACTGACCCTATCCTAAGCTGTTAGCGTGTAAGCCGATTGCTTCGTTCGTGCTATCAGCTTCTCCATCGGCCTCCTTTCTTTAGTTTCCTCTAGACTTTGCAATCGCTAGATCAATTGAGAGCAATATGCTTGCTCATCAATTCTAATTAATGGGTGCATTTGTAAATCAATGTGATATATTTTAAATTTTAATCACATCATCAAATCATCAAACACTTATATTATATGTTTCACTCTATATATATACTTGATTTGCCACGTTGGCACTGCTGGCTTCTCCATGCTTCACGGAAGGGCATTTTTGCCAAAGTGACAAACGCAATTTAATTATGTGTCTGATGACTCGGTATTTGCACATGTTTTCCCCTTTGTTTCTTGATTGTTTGAGCTTGAATTATTGCGTCTTTGGCCTATTTTATGCTAGGTTGTATTCCTTTGTCCCATTTCAGGTCCTAGCACATAAAGTGAAGCATAGGCGCAAGTTTCAAGTCAATCAGAGATCAATTGACGATTCGAGAGAAGAAACTCGGGCATGACCTGAAGAAGAATGGATTTCTACCTCACTTTATGGACAAAGAATCATGCAAGCTTGTTATGAAACGAAAGAGGACGAGACTACGAGCGTCTGGGATCAAACGGCGATTGATTCGGAGTCCGGACGAGGGAGAAACGAAGCATTAAACAGAGGCTGAGCAAGTTGCACGGCCAGAATGGTGATATGCACGGCCGTGCACCCTGGCCGTGCGAGAGGGCTGAAGTTCGACTAAATGACACGCTGCGTTTTGAGTTGCACGGCCAGAATGGTGATATGCACGGCCGTGCACCCTGGCCGTGCGAGTCGGGATTTCCTGGTTTTAAGCCAAATTCCGAACCAAAGAGGAGTGAGAGCTGGGTTTTGGATCCCAAACACCCAAGGGACGAACCCTAGAGATAGAGGGCGATTTGAGGGCATTCTTGGAGTAGAGAAGGAGGATTTCTTCGCCTTGGAAGCTCGAGGAACAAGCCCGGACGTGAAGACTGATCATCTGAAGATTCTTACTGCAGTCTCTCTCTTCTCTATGGAGTAACTTCCCTTCACTTAGGTTTTGAGGAACCCTAGCTATGTTTGTTTGATTGGATGATTGTATGAGTACTCTGACTGGATAATCTTGAGTTCATATTCAATCTATGCATGTTTTCATGATTCAATTCTGCTTTAGTCGAGATTATTGATTCTGCTTTGATCCTATGAGAGGGAATACCTGATTAGGTCAATAGAGCACCATAGATTGATAGTAGTGGATCGATTGCTTTAGTCGAGGGTTGATTCACTGCTTTGTATCGATTGAGAACCCCTTTCGATAGAGGGAGTCTAGTTCAGAACGCCTTGATCAGTTGTTCTAGAGAAGGATACGTCCCTCTAGGCAATTGACTCAAGAGGGCCTTGTTCCTTTAGTCGAGACTCAAGGTCTAGTCAAGGATTCTCCGCATTGTGAATGAAAGTGAAACAGGTTAGAGATCATCAATCATTAATCTGGCTAGTGGCTAGGGGGAATCATACCTAAGTGAGTTCCCAACCTGTAATTAGATTAACTTTAACTGTAGTTTGCTAGAGTAGTTTTAGTTCTTTCATCTTAATCTGATTTGCTAAATAATAAACTGAAGCTGAGTAATAGTAACTCTAGAGACCCGTGGATTCGATATTTATCACTTGAGCCACTATACTGCAGTCCCTCTCATTGGTTACACTTGGCCTTTGTTAGGTGTTGTGTTTTTGGAGTGTCAGTGTCCCTTGACTTCCCCCATACAGTTGCACTGTGACCGTGGGCCTTGCATCCAACAGCCCAAATTGTAATGCATCCTTACCGTTGTCCCAGGATATGTGAAGTGCCAGCCTCTATCTCTTGGCTCCCGTGGTTCCTAAATTCAAATTTAGAAGGCCGAGCGATGTTATTCGGCAGGCTTCCGAATTCAGATTAATTTGGACCTCTATAATCCGTATCAGTTATCCCTCCCCTCAATCCAAAAACTAAATATAATATTTGTCTAAATTATAATTACAATACGATAAAAAGCCTCGGCGACGGTGATGTTCAATTTCAAAACTATGTGGTAGCTATTTAACTTAGAGCTAGAGTTCTTTTCTATTAGGAATCTCCTTCACTACATCTCCTTAATTCCAACACTGCGTTGTTGGAGTTTCTTAATTTTTTTACAATTGTCTGGGTCAATTTCATTAGCAGATTATGCTTCATTCTTTCTTCTTTCTTCTGACTTTTCTATCATGGAACTAACTTTTGGCAAGTAGTGAAAAATCATAATGCATCGACGGTTCGAACAATAAAACCTTATACTGGAAGCAAAATCGTTAGAAGGTGTTTAGCAGTATGAAACGGCTGAACCACGATTTCAGCATAAATATCTTATCGCTAATTTTTCAGTACAACCTCCAGTACGCTTTCTCAATCATTTCTTATTAGTAAACATAATTGTTGATATAAACTATTTCCTCGGTTCCATTTTCATTAGCCCATTAAACCTCTTATAGTATCTTGATTTTTTTAATAATAGTAAACTGATTTCTGTGTAGTCAAGGAGAATCGAGTTTTAAAATGAATGTCCATTGAAATGGTTAAAACATAAATACGGTTGTTGATTATTAAATAATGTCATTTTAAAAGCAAAATACATTACACAAAGATTACAAAAATTCAATATTTATTACATAATATTTAAGTTAAACGTGTTACGTAAGAATTATGTAGTCAATTGACATTTTATGTAATACACCGTTATTATTCATTAAGTAAAACTGTCATCAGTTACGTAAACCTCATTCTACAACTCTTACGCAAGATAGAAATGCATTACATACAAATTATGTAACGACAATGGTTTCTTACGAAATAGTTAAATCATACGTGCCATGTAGGGCTTCCACAGTCTCTTAATTGCTTACCTAAAGAGGTGTTAATATTACTCAAATGAAAGGTTGTTCATTAAGTAAGTCTCATATAACCTGATTTCACAATAATTAAACAAAAGCATTACAAAAGTTTGCAAGGTACTTTGCGTAATGACTTTTGTACTTTACATAATACGGTGTTCTATAACTATTACTTATGTAATAAAATTTATGCTCAACTTTGTTCTAAGCTATTGTAGGAATTTTCCATATTACTCATTAAGTGTTTAGATTAGCATAATGATTAACAGGCCTCAATGATTAACATTGAAGCGATTCACGTGGATCCTGCAATAATGGTAATGGATTATGAAATTTGATAGTTTTTGGATCTTCAACTAGCTCCTGGCTCAGTAGCGGCGGAGCCGCCGATTCCACGTCGGGTGGACACCGGATTTACGGGACATCTGATTCCCGACGGCGATCGGTTGTCGAAGCCATGGACGGTGGAGCTTCCGGCTTCCGGAGTTACGGTGGTGCAGTGCTTGACCGCCTTGATTACATGGTTATTGGTTTAGATTTGAAATCAATGACATTGAAACAAGTTATTTGCAAAGACATGGTGCACTGTTCGCCTAGACACAAAATTACTGTTCACTCTATCTTGATTGGTCCATGGTCTGCAGCTGGTCCCGCCTGTCTTTTTTTATTGGATGCGTGCTTCTCTCTGTCCCTTGCGGTTTTGTCCTCCGTTGTTGCTGTGAGTGTTGCATTGCCCTCAGCTGAGCCCTAATTATCTCTTCGTTATTTCTTTTTTTAATTTTTTAATTTTTTATTTCCTTCCTCTGGTTCTCTTCGGAATTGCGGGCAATGATGGGCGCGCCTTTCCTTACCCGCCCCTTTCCGTTCGAGTCTTGGGGAGAGCGACTCTCTTTGCTTTTGCCTTGGTATCTGAAAACCGCCTCGCTTGCGCCGAGATTTTTTTTTATACCTTTTTGTGTTCTTTCTTTCTGACGGTTCTCCTATTTCACATTGGCCTTATCTCTTTGCAGAAACACTGTTTCAGTTTCCTTACCTACCTGTTCGCTATTGGGCTGGTAACTGACGCGCGCCGCACTTGCCCCTTCTAATTCCTTCTCTCATTTTTATACGCTTTCTTTTTTGTACGCCAGCAGTTCATCATTGTCTTTCTCTTCTCTTTCTATCATTCTGTTCTCTTTCTAGGTATTGTTTTCTCTCTCTTTAGTGCTCTTCGCCTCGGAGACCATGGAGTTCACGTTGCTTTGCAACCTCGGCGGCGCGCGCAATGCGGCCGTTTCTTTGCGGCTGCGGCTGCTGCATGTCTGGCCGGCGAAGTCTCCGGGGGATATCAGGATTTACAATTACTGTACTCTTTGGACCGACGAAACGGTGAGTCTCCAAATCTTTGCGTCTATATTTTCCTGTTTTGTTCTGTGATTGTCTCTCTATTTTGTTTTTTTATCCGTTGTGGTGTGCTTTGTGCAGGGTACGTTGATTCATGGTGTTTCGCCAACTTCAATGGCTGCTGGGATTCGTCGTAACCTTTCTGTTGGCAAGATATATGTCATAAAGTCCTTTGGTTTGAGCAACCCGCCGAATCAGTATCGTCCATGTTCCTTTGACTTGCCTTTGGGTCTTTCGCCTTCGACTTCTTTCCAAGCCCGTAGTCTTCCTGCCGAGAGTTTTCCGGTTGATGCGTACGAGTTTGTGCCTTTCTCCCAGTTAAATACGCGTGCTGGTAATCATCGTTACTTGACAGGTCAGTAGATTTATTTTTGCTCGTTTCTTATTAATTGCATGTATATGGTTTTTGTTTGTGCCGTAATTTTCTGTCTCCATTTTATTTTCGTAGATGTCGTTGGTCTGCTCAATTCAATCAGTGGGATATCGCATAAAATCACTAATAACGGCCCCGCAGTCAAGCAGACGGTTATCATCGAGGATGAAAGGTTTTTTTTACGCTTTTCTGGGGTTTCTGAGCTTGGTTGCATGCATTTTGTTTCTTTCATGTTGTTCCTTGTGTATTCCCATGGTTTTTCCTCCAGCGGGGCGAAAGTCACTATCACACTCTGGGATGAGTTTTCTACAGTGTTGGACCATGTTGCTCTCACTCAGGCTGGCTCGATTGAAGCTATGATTCTTGCATTTGGCGGCCTGCTGGTTAATAAGTTGGGAGGTATATTTTTTCCACTGATTGCATGTGTCTTTTATGGGGTTCTGCGAGAAACATTGGTGTGACATTACTTTTTCCTGTTTATTGTTCTTTTTTCAGATGATTATATTCTTTCGAGTTCAGCCGGTACACGCATAGCGGTCAATGCTCCTGTACCAAAGGCCTATTTTCTTGCATCTAGGTAAGTCGGTTATGGGTTGTTGCTGATTTCGTATGGCATGTTTTGGTGTTCATTCTATGCCCGGGGTGAAATGTAATTAGGCTCATGCTGTTTGTGTCTATTTTAGGTTTGCCGAAAAACATGAAGTTGTTGAATCTTTGCCAGTGGAGTTTGCTACAGTTGCTGATGCTACTGCTGATGCTGATCGACGAACCAAGACTTTGGATCAGTTGTTGAGCCTGTCTCGAATGAATTCCTCACTGGTTTTTGCCTATACCTCATGAAAAGTTTGTTGTTTTTATTTCTCTTTCGTTGGGAATGAATGGACTTTCTTTTCTTTCCCAGGAAGAGAGGTATCGTTGTGGTGGGGTGATTGTTGATGTCGAGTCAAGTACACCTTGGTATTACATTTCGTGCAAGTTGTGTTCGAGAGTTGTTTCGAAGCGTCGAGACAATTCGTTTTGGTGCCCAAAGGATTGGCAGCTGGACGAGGAGCAAACTCGAGTCAATTATGTTGCGCGATATTTCTGTATTCGCTGACTGTTTTAAGTCCTTTTTCTTATGTTCTTCTTTTTCCAGTTATAAGCTTCAGCTAACACTTAGGGACGACTCTTGCGAGGCTCGGTTTATACTGATGGGGGGATGTGACCTTGCGTTGGTTAATTTTTCTGCTGCATATCTGGCCCAGAGGTTCCCTCATCGTCCTGGTCAGCTGCCCCCGCAGTTGCATCAATTGCGTGGGCAGTATGTCAAGTTCGATTGTAAGTTGCCATTGCCTGGTCCTACTGGCTTCTCTTCGGGTGAGTTCCTTGTAACTCAAGTTGTTCCGCTTGATGACCCTACGGTGGTGGACGATCTGCTTGAGTTTTCCTTGCAACCTTTGTTGTCTGGTACTGGTGTTGCTGTGTCGAGTTCGGCAATGTGTGCAGTAGGTGATGCAGGCGTTTCTTCGAGTTCATCGAGGTTAGTATTGGTTGCTTTGTCTTCTGTGCTTTTGTTCTTTGGTTTTTTGCTATGCTTTATGAACTGTCTGCATTATGTTCTCAAGGGCTGCGAAGGGAAATGAAAAGGTTTCAGGCCCTCTGCTCATTCAGGCTTCAGCAGTTTCGTTCAGTATCACGGGGGAGCCAGACTAGACTGTTTGGTATTCACATCTATAACGACATTTTTTTTTGTTAGTTAGTGTGGCTATTGATGAGTATGTCTTCAATTATCTATCGTGATGTATTCATTTTGCAGCTCAATAGCTGAGGATTTGCAGATCCCTATTCCTGCAAATATCGAAAGGGAAGACATGACTGTTGGCTCCCATATTGTTGGGGGTTCACATTTTTCGAGGGTTGGTGTGAAAGCTGGCTCTAGCCCAGCTGCTGCAGTTGTGTATGTTCCTTCTTCAGACCAGTCCTGTGCTCCATTAGCCAGATCTACTCCTCCTACGATTTCCAAGCGAACATCCAGAATTGATGAGTCTATGAGCCCTGAGGATGTCAATCATGGTTCGCTTACATCTGCTGCAAAAGCTCTGAAGCCATCTCCTGAGTCATCTCCTGAAAGACCTCTGGTTTAGCCGCTGGCTCCGCGTCTGCATCATTGTAGGTGTTTATGTCGTTTATAGTCAGTTTAGTAGTTTTGTTTATATCTGTGTTTTTTCCCCAATACTCATAGTTAAATGTTATGTTTGATTCAAGATTGGTTTCCCCACTCGCCAAGGTCAAGGTGGAGAAATTAGATGCTGCCGAGATTGCTACTTTGCCACATGGTGGTTCCTCTCAGGCAGGTGCAGATGCGGAAAGAGATGCTCCAGTAGACAGTCAAAAGAACCCAACTGTGAAACGTACTTTGTTCAAGAAGTGATGACAGCGTCAAGGTCATTCCTCATTTTCTTATTTTGTTTCATTTTTCTGCCATGGTTTATTTGCAAATCATTTACTGTGGCAACTATGTATCTTATTCTTTCACGGTTGATTATATTGCAGGGAGCGGATATGTTTTGGATTGAAGTTTTTGTGCATGAATCTTATGCTTCTCTGCGTGGTTGCTTATGTCCCCAGAATTGCAGCTGTCTGACATTCAAGGAGATGCCATGTTTTGTTTAGCTTTTGAAAGTTATTCTCCTTCTCTAGACAATCATGTTTTGGATTTCTGAGTTTCAGTAATGTAGTGTTCGCAGCTGTGTGGATGTTGTTATTTTGGATTTCTGGGTTTCGGAAATGTGGCGCTTGCAGCTGTTTGGATATTATTAGAAGATACAATGTTTAAGTGGATGGGTAATTAGTAACTGATCAGTTGGTATTAGATCCTCTGCTGTTGTTTTGGTGATGTTGTTTGCTATACGTAACAACTGTGTTTAGCAACTCTTTCTAAGACTATTGTCAGTCAGTGTTTGCGATCATCGAATGTTATTTGATGTCGATATGAGCAAGTTCGTCTTTTTGTTTCCCTCACTGTTCGTTTATTCTTCGCTTAGAACACGTCCAGTTTTTAAAGGCGGTGAGGGAGGAGCTTATCTCAATTTCTCTGAGGCGGTTTGAATAGGAACATGATGGTTTTTTGCAATGTTGTCAGAACCGAACCGGAGCATGACCCGGTAATGCGAACGGCTCGCACTTTAGCGGTCCAACCGACATTAAACCGTTTAAAAACCGTTAGAGAACCGATATCTAATAAAAGTTATCAGTATAAATAGTGGACATTTCTTAATCAGAGCTCATCTCTTTCCTTCGAAATTGTGAAATGGAAATAAGGATTCAATTTGAGAGCGCGACGTTTTTGGTTTATTTTAATTTTCTACAATTTTTTTAATTAAATTTAGTGGCTGAATGGCAAAAACTGGACGAGCGGCTCGATCGGCTCGAACGGTTAACCGCCTCGGCCGCTCGCCAACCGCTACATAAAACCGGAGCGGCTTTTAGACTGTTCCGAGCCGATTTTGTGACCGGGTGGCGGTTTTACCGGTCGGGCCGAGCGGCTCGGCTCGGATTTAATAACACTGGTTTTTTGGGAGCCTGCAGACTGTTTCCAGAACTACGAAATTGTCAGCTATTAACACATTTCATTCGTTCCAACTGACTATTCATGTTTCAAAAGAAGAGGACGTTTGGATCGATTTATGATATTTGAGCTTTTTCTTAATCTTTCTTAATTCTCTTGATATTTCTTAGTGTGGTGCAGCCTCTTTATGCTCAATAGATTAAACTAATATGATTGCTTTTCAGCATTTTACTAATCCAATAAATTGTTAGATATTTTCTACATTGTAAGAATATATACTAATTAATACATAGCTCACATATTCATGATGGCTAATTGATATTATATACATCTTCCCCCTCATTGGGGTTATATCATCTTCTCCAAGAACCTCTCTTATTCCACCATGATATTTCATCTGTGGTTTGCTTATCTATATCCTTTGTTTGGCAGACTTAGTAGACAACCATTCATGTAGTCATCACGCCTGTAACTGTCAAAGAGAAGCTGGTTTTTTTATTTATTTCTTACATTGATGCGCCTGATGAATAGGTGAGAGTGGTTTCTATGATCCTCCTTCAACACATTCTCATTGAATGCATTGGATTCCGTTTGTCTTTGTCTCAACTTGGCTAATTGAATATCTCAATCGTTAGTGATTCTGGTCATGTTCTATTTCTGTCTTACCTATGCAGCAATGCCTCCTAAAAAAAGAAAGACTCAGTATCAGACTCTAACACGTAAGAGAGCCAGGATTGAGTTTACGGAGCAACCATTGCAAGATTCCATAGCTCCTCAAGCATCATTTGGGGACATAGATTCTGTGTCAAAGGACATTATGCAGGTATCATTACAAGGTCTTCATCAATTCTTGCCATCTTCATCAGGTGGTGAGTATACTGCCATCATATGACTGTTCTCTAAATGATAAGATACTCATGAGAAGATCAAGTTTTATCAATCTTAGATTGTATCAAAACTTAACTGTCATGTTCCCTTCTATGTGTTTTATACATGTCAGAATCTTCAAAAACAAGAAAATCGCACTACCAAACTCTGAAACAGCTGGGATCCAGAAATATAACTCGGGTTTTCTCTTCTCTGGAACAAGGGGAACCCGATTTGGTGGAGGGATGTAACGAAAACAGCAGTCGAGTGAGCCAAGCTGAACAGCAAAACACTGATCGTTCACGGCAGAATAACTCATCTGCAACTACATCATGTTCTAGGTCCGTCCCCACGGCTAGGAAGCCACTCTATGATGATATTATGAACATCGGTCAACCAAAATGTGTCTGAAAATTATGTGGTGCTTTGTTTTGGGATTTGGAGAGGCTTGATCGACGACGAGCAACAACCGATCCTATCTATGGACTCTGTTGTCAGAAAGGTCGTGTTGGTTTGCCATATATAGCTCAACCTCCGCGTTTGTTGGCTGAGCTTCTGCAATTTGATGGTGGCGCTATGTCTAAGCATTTCAGGGATAACATCAGACCATACAACGATTCATTATGTTTTACATCATTTGGTGCATCTATCGACCCTCGCTCTCTCTCTGGAAGGGGACCGTATTCAATGGTTATATGTGGAGAAAACTATCATAGGATTGGTTCACTGTTGCCTCCTGATGGTGAAAAACCGAAGTGTCCCCAACTTTATATTTTTGAACCGGAGAATGAAATCAACAATCGTTTGGCAAATTTTGCATCCCGTGATGGTCTACTTATGTCAGAACTGCTCACATCATTGCTCCAAATGCTTGATCAACATAACCAGCTTGTCAAAACCTTTAGGCAAGTTCGGCAGCAACTACAAGATTCTTCAACAATGAACTTAAAACTCCGGATATTTGGAGCCAAGAGCAGGAATAGGCAATACGATTTGCCTAGCATCACTGAGATTGCAGGGCTTATACCAGGTGATTTCATTCCGGACAGAGATGATCGTGATATCATTGTTGATAATATCTATGAGGGTTTGAAGAGAATTACGAGCCTCAATCCAAAATTTGATGCGTTGCATTTCCCACTCATATTTCCATATGGAGAGGATGGATATCATCCGCTCATTAAATATAGATCAGCTTTTTGTCCTCCTTCTATGCGCAGGCAATTTGTTACTCAGCGTGAGTATTATGCATTTAGGCTTCAATATCGCAATGGCGAGGGTCATACAATTGTTCAAGCTGGAAGAAGCTCTTCAACACTTTTGTATTGATGCTTACTCATCAATAGAGCTAAACAGGTTGGCTTTTTTTGCGTTATCATCAGCCACAACTTAGAGCTGAGGTTTATCAAGGACTACAGGATGCGATGGCGCGGGGTGATCTTGACGGAGATAAAATGGGTCATATTGTACTCCCAGGTACCTATATAGGCAGTCCGCGGTATATGCAACAACTATATCACGATGCAATGGCAGTGGTCGAATTCTTTGGGAATCCTGATCTATTTATTACATTCACATGTAATTCATTGTGGGAAGAAATCACTGACGCTTTTCGTGATATTGTTGGCCCAAATAGCTCAGATAAACCAATGGTGGTTTCAAGGGTTTTCCACACCAAACTTAGTATTCTCATTGATGACATTAAGAAAAACTCCTACTTTGGAAAAACAATTGAAAGTAAGTATAAACTTTTCATTTATCATCTGTACATAAATGTGGCATGTTCAGTGCTTTTCAATATACACATATGAATACCTGTCTTTTTAACATGCCTTGCATTGGTCCAATAATGTATACAGTGGAGTTCCAGAAAAAAGGTTTGCCCTACATACATTTGCTGGTTTGGTTGGCTGAAGAGTATAAACTGAGGACATCAGCTGATATTGACGAGGTAATATCAGCCAAAATTCCAGACCCTCTACAAGATCCAGTTGGATATGAAGCTGTTTGTAGATATATGTTGCATGGTCTGTGCGGTGAAGCAAATACAATGCACCATGTATGCGAGACAGAAAACAGTTAACGAACCGCAAGTGTTCCAAACAATTCCCAAAAGAGTTCAACTCTGCCACAACATTTGACAAGTTCGGAAATGTTGTCTATAAAAGATCAAACTCTGGCATAAAGTTTTAAAAGGGAAGTTTGGTACTTGAAAATCGACATGTTGTTCCATATAACAAGAATCTGTTGGTGAGAATGCAGGCTCATGTGAATGTTGAGGTATGTCATAAAGGCAAACTCATTAAGTATCTCTTCAAATATGTGACAAAAGGGCCGGACAGATCATTGGTTATTGCTGAAAACGCTGATGCATCACAAAATTATCCAGAGATGCAACCTCTAAGGCACAGAGATGAAATTCAACAGTACATTGACTGCCGATCACTGTCATCTTATGAAGCCATATGGAGGCTCAATGAATATCCAGTTCATGTGAGAGAACCAGCAGTGGTGCGCTTGGGAGTTCATTTGGATGGTCAGCAAAAATACCTTATAAAAAACAATCCAATGTTCGAAATGTTTTAGGGAATCCTAATGTCGGAAAGACACATTTGACAGAATGGTTTGCTCTGAATCGCAGGGACCCCTGGGCAAGGGTTTTAACGTATGCGCAGATACCGAATAACTACACTTGGCTTCCTGATTGTAAAGAGTGGAGCCCTCTCAAGAAAGGATTTGCAGTAGGGAGGATTGCATATGTTCCCCCAGGCTCTGGCGATGTTTTTTTTCCTCAGAATGGTGCTCACAAAAGTTCGTGGTGCTCTCAGTTATGCTCATCTCAGAACTGTCGATGGTGAACTTTGTGCAGATTTTGAAAAAACTTGTGAAAAAATGGGGATGTTATTAGATTCTTCAGAATGGATACGTGTCCTATCCGATATATCAACTTCTAGCATGCCACGGGTGATACGGAGCACTTTCATGTCGATGCTTATGTTTTGTGAAATACCAAGCCCGGTGGCTTTGTTTAACTCATCGTGGAAATCTATGGCTGAAGATTATGCGTACAGGTTAACAAAAGATCTCAGAGATCAGTCTCATAAGCCCTCTGATGAACGACTACAGAACTGGGTCCTTCATGAATTGCAAGCTATGTTGAGCTCTCACTCAATGACCCTTGAGGACTTTAATATTCCAATCTCGACTGATACTTCAAATGATAATGGAGAGAACCCACTCATTAACGAGCATCTTGCCTTCGATACAGACCAACAACATGCATTAGCAACCTCAATGCTACATTCTCTTAATCTTGAGCAGACTAATGTATATTCAGTTGTCATCAACTCAGTGCTCAACAAAATGGGTCGTGCATTTTTCCTATATGGTCACGGAGGTACAGGCAAAACGTACCTCTATAATGTCATTACAGCAAGACTTAGGAGTTTGGGGAAGATTGTGGTATTGGTTGCATCATCGGGAATAGCAGCTACACTTCTTCCCAAAGCAACCACTCCACATTCAAGATTTAAAATTCCTTTGATTCTAGATGCAACATCGACATGCCCCATCAAACACGGAACACATTTAGCTGATCTGTTAAGAGTGGCATCCTTAATCATTTGGGACGAGGCACTGATGACCCATCGGCAAGCTTTTGAAGCAGTAGATCGCAGCTTGTGCGATATATTAAATGTTCCATTGACTGGACATCGATATAAACCTTTTGGAGGGAAAACAGTTCTTTTCGGTGGAGATTTTCGCCAAACTCTTTCAGTTATAACAGATGCTGGCCGTGAACAAACAATTGATGGCTCATTGACAAGGTCCAAACTATGGAATACTTTTAAAGTGATGTGCCTATCAACAAACATGCGCATCACAGTGGTCCAGCCTGCTGACCAGCAGCTGATGCATGGATATAGGTTTCCAGAATTGGTACTTGCTTTAGGAGATGGAAAACTTAAAGCACGATCGTTCAGAGAAGATGGACCAGCAGATTGGATACAAATTCCACAAATGTTCCTGATTGATCCTGGAAATGACTCTGTTCAGTCAATCGCAGATGATATCTATGATATGTTTCCACACAATCATAGGGATCCGACATACCTAACCAGTAGAGCTATAGTAACTCCAACAAATGCAACAGTCTCTACAATCAATGACTATATGCTGCAGCGGGTACCAAGAAATTCAAAAATCTATTACAGCTCAGATTCCTTGCTACTGTCGACAGAAACAGCAGATTCGTTTGATGAAAGCTATCCAACAGAGTTTCTCAACACTCTTACATTCAATGGAGTACTAGACCACGAGCTAACGTTAAAGGTATTCACAGCAGTTATGCTCCTATGCAACCTAAATCCTGGTCTTGGTTTATGCAACGGGACAAGGATCATGATCACAACATTAGGAGATAATTTTATAAAAGGCAACATTATGGGTGGTTCTTATGACACTGACGAAGTCATTCTACCAAGAATAGTGCTCAACGTGGAAAACTCCAAGTGGCCCTTCATACTCAGAAGGAGGCAGTTCCCAGTACGATTATGCTATGCAATGACTATAAACAAAAGTCAAGGACAAACGCTTGAAAAAGTTGGGATATATTTGCCTGAACCCGTTTTTAGCCATGGTCAGCTATATGTGGGAGTTTCAAGAGTAAAATCAGCAAGAGGTTTGAGGATTCTTATACAAAACCCAGCAGAGATTCCTCACGACTATACAAGGAACATAGTCTTCACTGAAGCCTTTGCTGATATTATGAACACCTAAACTATATATCAGGTGAACCCATTAAATTTATCAAGCTAATTGATGCTAATACCTGCAAATCCACCTAAAAAAGTTTATTTTTTTGTAGGATTGCAGCAATGCCCTGATGCAATCATGCCAATCCAAAGAGGTCAATGCCTTATCTTAACGACATGTCTAGCTAATAAATGGTAAGGAAATGCATTCATCTATGTTTTGGGGAATTAGTTATCGAGGATTGAGCGGTTGATTTACATTTGATTAGGAAATGCACCTGTCTAAATCTTTGATCGAATGGTTCGTTAACTATTACAAACTGCAATGTTCCAATTTGTCACAAGCACTATGTACCAAACGTTTTCGGGCCTGAACTTGAGCCATCAATTGTTTGAGAATCATATATTTGATAATAAAAGGAAATAGATTTGAGCCCAACCCAGATGGTTCTTCAAGGCTACAGAAAAAAGCCTATTAGAAACACGCTCCAAATAAACGCTTCCCTTTAAAATCCTATTTATCTTCATCAACCAAACCCGCCGTCCACATCTTCAGCAACTCCTCTCCGCCGCGGTAGTCCCACCACTGGAACTACAAGACAACCTTTAGGACAAGGGTAAGTCCACGTCCTCCTCTTCTTCATCGCTTTTACATCTGAACATTTACTTCTAATCTGTACTTGTGTTGGTTGCACAGAGACCCCACCAAACATGGAGAGTTTACCTAAAAACCACCAGTCAACAGAAAGCGCTCACATGGTCCCCACCGATAACAAAGGTGAATCCCTTACATTTCCGTTAAAAAATTCTCCCAGGAATCTCGAACCCTCTGCAAGAAAAATAAAATACCCATTTCGTTTCCCTTATTGTCTTATAGATCCGATTGAAACTTGCATGCCATTTCGGGGGTTGCGTTTGGGCACAAACATTCGCACCGTTATTGCTCGTCCTGTGATGGCATGGCTCGAATTCCGAGAGGCACCCAAGCTTAAAAACCTCAGCATGCACATGACAAGAAGGTCCGTTTACAATTCAGTTAGAAGATTGAATGAACTTTTCATAAATGATTTTTAACAACTGCAATGTACGATTTGAAATCGATTAAATGCTATTCTTATAGGCACGATTGATTGAGTCAGTGGTCGATGAAAAAAAATCACCGAGATTTCTCGCAAGATAAAAGTCGGGAACCTATATCGTTTTGATTCGGTGATTGCTGTACCAGCAAGAGAGAATCCAAAGATTGTCCCAGGAGAGTTAAGGGTGCACATAACTCCCGAACAAAACATTTCCAGGGTTGAAGAGGACCCAGATGACCCACGTTTGCCAATCGGTTGGGACATTGGGATGGCTTTCTCGATAATACCAATTCAGACAAGTATCATTGACTACCATACAAGTACATCTGACTATCTCTGTTCGGCATACTAAAATGAATTTAAGCTATAAAGTGATAAACTCTTCTGTTGGCCACAGATATCACAGTATGCATTAGGCGACTCAGTGTTCCGACAACAGTTCATGGTACTCTTAAAGAATTTCACATGGTCGTACAGGATGTGAGGTACATTTTATAGAATAATATGTTAGTATATGAACTATGTGAATCAACAATCTCATATATTTGTGTCACGAACAGCGACGCTAAGGCTACTGTGCAGTATCGAGGATATGACATTTTGAAGTTCATAGAAAATGCTCCAACAGCTGAGTCTCACCTGCCTCTCATTGTTACAATCAAATCTGTCATTCGAGTGCCACCTCTATCCAGCCAGAAATATAAGTATCGTTTCGAGTCCACTCCTACCAGAGAACTGACAATAAGATCTTACACAGGCATAATCAAGGAAATCATGCACATGTACAATTCTTTCTAAACACATGCTATTCATTTCTCGAATCATACATATTGCAACTCAGCCAAAATAAGAATAACACTTATTAATCTTTTTTGTTACAACATCTTCCTTTATAGCCGCAGACAAGTGTATTACATGGATGCCAACATCTGCAAGAAAACAGGATGCCTTCGACCAGGAATTAAAAAGAAGACACTCGCTGACATCAAAACTATGCTTGCATCTAATCAGAGCTGCCACAAGGTTCGTTAGGGACAAAAATGTTTCACAAATGCCTATGTTTTGAACTTACATTATACACATAGACATATCTAATCAAAATGTGGCATTCATATCAGATACTTTATCATGCCAAGTTCCACATATCGCAGCTGAAATTTCGAAAAAGCATCTGCCGAACAACTGAGGAATGGCCAGAGTAAGTTTTCGCTTTCAGAAATAACATTACATCTAATATTAGTTGATCTATCTGAGGAGATCATCAGCCACGTGAGAGTTTCCCTTCATACGGCTCGAATCATTCTATAACACAATTTCTCATTTATATTCATGACCAGATTGCACTATCAGCTGGAGGTCAAGTGTGAACAAGGATCTGATGACATAGATGTCATAATGGACCATGAGGCAACTCTCTCAATAATTGGCATGTCACCCAACAAGTACAACAAACTCGATGCAGAATCGGCCAAGGCATTGCTTATCAAAAAGTGTAACAGAATGTTTGCAGGTGAGTTATACATCGGTTCCTCAGATTTGAAGAATAGAACCCCAGCAGGCCAATCTCACATTAGAGTTGCAACACTTTGGCATACCTCAAGAATAGACAAGTGAAGGTTTCCTGATGGATCATATCTATCCCTGAACTAGGTTCCAATTCTCCAGCTTCGATGGAGACAAAACTATATCCAGCTTTGATTATATATTTTGGCAGACTTTTGGATGATTTAATTATGTGTTTCTTTGCCTTGACAAACTAAATCTCCAGAACTTTGATGTGTGCTCTGCTGTGATGAATTTCCAATGCTGTTATTCTTAGTTTAGCAAAAATGATGCTTAATGTAGGTTCGCAAACCACGTAGCAACCTCTATTCAACAATATTCTAATTACATTGCTCAATCAAGTAACTATCTCATCTACTTTCAAATTATACACCCAAATAAATACTTCAGGATCCACAAAATTACAAAAGTTAAACTTATCCCGCCGCGGAGCGCGGACTGAAAGAAAAGGATTTTTAGGGCGACGAATAGGAATTTTCAAAATATTTAATCCTAAGATGAAATAAATAATAAATTAATTTAAGAAAAAGAAACGCGTCTGTTTGGGGAAGCGTTTCGAGTTGAGGCCTTCCCCGGAAACTTAGCCAACAAGACTCCAAACGGACAAGTCCCACCGTCTTCCCTCCCTCGCCTCAATACTAACGCCGTGTTCCCTTCCTTCGAATCACATCCCGACACGTATCCATCTCATGCCCCCTCTTGTTCACACGTAGGATCACGTTTCCTATAAATAAAACCCCCTTCCTCTTCTCATTCCGTCAATCAACCAACCAACCAACAAAGAAAGTTCTCTCTCTCAAATCACGCCGTTCGCTTCCGATCTTTCTCTCTCCGTCACCACGCTTACGGAGAAGTTCCCCTGTTTCCTTTCCCCGATTCCGATCGGCAGTCGTCCTCCGCCTAATCAGATTCCGGCGATAATGGCTGAAGCAAACGCTAATCCCGCAACTCCTGCTCCACTGGTTCGTAATCTCCACTTGCTTAAACCCCTGTTTTTGTTTTCCCCAATTTCATGTTCGATTCAGAGGTTCTTCTCTGGCGGAAAGTCGGTCGAGGGACTTACAACCTTTCAATTAGGGCTTAGAACGAAGCGGGATCCTTATGATCGCTTCATTATCGGAGTTCGGAAGTCCGTGCGTGGATAGCTCAGGTGAATTTTCAGCGTCGGATGTTTGATTTTTATTTTTTGTTTTCAATTTGTGTTGTGTAGACGAAAGAGGAGGAGGAGAGGCTGAAATACTTGGAATTTGTGCAAGCAGCAGCTCTTCACGCTCTGGTGACGTTCACGAACCTCTACATCTACGCCAAGGACAAGGCGGGTCCGTTGAAGCCTGGCGTCGAGACAGTCGAAGGAACTGTTAAGACCGTGGTTGGCCCTGTTTATGATAAGTTCCAGGACGTTCCCATTGAAGTCCTCAAGTTCGTTGATCGCAAGGTGACGGTTCTTTCTCCTTTTCCTGCAATTTAGCCGTCTGTAGAGTCCTTGAACAAAGAGCAAGTGGGAGATTTGCAAGTTAGGGAGTTTGGGTACCGTATTGGGATTAAAGTAGCACTCTCCTGCCAATTTCATTGATTGATTAGCTTATTACATTTGGGTTTGAAATTTTGTTTCTGTTTAGCGGGAATTCCTTAAAAGGGCAATGGTATTTTGAATCAGGAAATAGTATCGAGTTAGGGAATCTTGATATGGGGTCATTTGTCTATTACTATTTGCTTTCTGCAACTCATTAGTCTGAGAATCTAAGTTGTAGTATTGATTCTTGGTATGAGTGCCATGATCGTTTCCTTTTGGTAGATATTTGTTGTCAGCTCTCAAACTTCCCCCATCCCTTTGGTCACATGCTAAATTAATCAAGTGGCCCTCCCAACCATCTGCTTCTGTTTATAAAATGAAGTATATGTTTGAAATTTGAATGGATTATCTTCTCCTACCATGATGAACATGGTCCAGTACTCATGGTTCATGGACCACAGCGGCTGTAAGCCTCGGTCTCTATCTGGTTATAAAAAAGGAACGAAAAGGGTTATTCTTTTCTCATGTTTTTGCTCCCTTTACCCCCTCTGTTTAACTAAACAGGTAGACGAATCTGTTACTAGCATCGACCGGCGCGTGCCACCAGTTGTCAAGCAAGTGTCGGCCCAAGCATTCTCGGCAGCACAGGCTGCCCCGGGAGCTGCCCGTGCTGTGGCCACCGAGGTGCAGCGATCTGGTGTGAAGGAGACCATGACAGGGTTGGCAAAAACCGTCTACACCAAGTACGAGCCAAAGGCGAAGGAACTGTACACCGTCTACGAGCCTAAAGCCGAGCAGTGTGCTGTCTCTGCCTGGCGAAGGCTCAACCAGCTTCCCCTCTTCCCTCAGGTGGCTCAAGTGGTTGTCCCGACGGCTGCTTATTGGTCCGAGAGGTACAACGAGACTGTGGCCAGCACTGCTGAGAAAGGTTACAAGGTCTCTTCTTACTTGCCTCTCGTGCCTACTGAGAGGATTGCCAAGGTGTTCAGTGATGATACTGCAGCTCCACGATTGGTTTCTAACTGAAAGGTTGTCAATTTGGAGTGTGAACGTGGGTTGAAGAGAGACAAAGAAGGGTTTATGCTTAGTCTTGTTTTAGTTTATGCTCTTTGTTTTGTGAAGAATGAATGACCTTTGTGGTCTTGTTACAGTGCTGGAGTTGGTTCTGTTAGCTTTTTAGTTCTGTTAGTTGAATACAATGGAAGATTGTTGTCGTGTTAGCTCAATTCTTGAGGTTTGTCACTTTGATCACTTGTTCAACACATGAGAGCAAAGATAAACTGTGACTGTGAGTGCAACAAGCCAAAAACTATACATTTCATATCAAATACTAGCACAGAGCCCGGCCCTTGGCCGGGTTGTTCTTCTCATTGTAGTAGTGCTTTTTTTTTTCTTTGTAGTTTTGCTTGCTTCCTTTGCCTAAATTAATGAAAAAATTATACGAAGTTGAGAAATAACTTTCGAAACATATTACATTGTTATGTGACAAATGTGTTATAATTTAAACGTTTGTAACCTTTTATCTAGAGGTAAACATATGTCACCAAAATGATCATTCACGTAATTTAAAATAGACCGATTGAATAATAAAGATTATGTTAGAAAATTGTATGGAAATGTGACATTTTTTGTTTTCTCTATGCCTTTATTCAGGCCATGAAATGTCAAAAGCGACGGTGATATATATAAGTTGGGTGAAGAATTTTTATATGAAAATAAAAATGAGAGAGAAAATTAGAACAAATGCATGTTATTTATTACAACAGATATAGCAAATACAAAAAGTTTGTCATGCAATTAAAAATAAATATTTCCAATTAAAAATATAGATCATTCTTATTTTAAGATGATAAAACTTGAAACAATAATTCAAAAATGGAGTTACAAAAATCAAGTTAAAATAATAGAAAGTATTCAATGAGTATAAATATTGTACTATTTGTATTGTATATAAATCTAATTTGTATAGATTTGTGTTAATGCCACAATTATTAAAACCGGATCGGACCGGCTGGCTAGACCGGGAGAACCCGGGACCCGGGCACAAGTTCGGTGCCAGAAGCTATGAAACAGGCGGGCTGGGGAAATAATCATCTACCGCATACTTCTTTGTATTCATTTAATTATTAAATAAAAAATTGGAACTAAAGCAGCAGGAGGAATGAAAGTAACGGTTTATGAACGGTTGTGAATACCGATTAATCAACGGTTATCCGATAAACTTTGAACCTCTTATTAATCCGGATTGATGTCCAGTTCGGTTTTAACGACACTGGTTAATGCATGCTAGAAGATATAGAGATACCAATACACAATAGTTTTGTGTTACTGCATTATGATATCGAGTACCAATTTTCTTTAATAACTTGATTTTTTGGGGGATTCGACTCTAATATCTTTATCTTACTCATATCAGTAAATATTTAACCCCATAAATTTTCATCCCTCTATAGAGGTACGTAACCAAGTGGCTTTAGAAGCTAAACCTGTTTTGTACACGTGGAGTCCCCAATTCATGCAGGAGAGGAGATAGATACTCCTCAAGGCCTTCACTTCACTTCCCTTGTCTTAATTTCTTCCTGTTACCCACTTTTTTGCTCTCTCATGTTTTTTGCATTCGATACTCAAAGATAGAGAAGAGAAGAAGGTTAATTAATGTACAATTCCCTCACTGTATTAGTCAGACTCATGATTCCCCTTTCAAGTTAGTTACTGATCTCAAATGGATCAACATGAAGGTTCGCAAAGTTCATTTCTACTTTCCTCTAGCAGCATATATAGGTGAATTTTGAGTGTGATAGCAGCAGCAGCGTAAGGGACAGAAAGCTGGATTCTGCATTTGTTTAATCTCGATCTGTATGCCAGGCTAATTTCGGGCCCCAACATGCCAATCTTTGTTTCTCCGCTGTCAAGGCAAAAGAAAAGCTAATTAAGGATAATAAAGCTTCTTGTACCTCTCGCTCGCGTTGGCCTGAACCAGAGTTGCAAATGCAATAAAGCCTCTCCCTTTCATTGGCAAGACAAGACATTCATGAACACTCCCTTTTCTACCATATATCTTAGAACAATTGCTTCCCTTTAAATATTGTTTTCGAGTACTTCAACCTCTCCTTTTCTTACTTATAGTCTAAGAAGGAAATTGAAATGTGTCACCAATTTTCTTTAGGGAAGCACAGACCACAGGAGTTGTCCGGGGATTGAAATCTGGCGGAAGGGAAGGGAAGGGAAGGGAAGGGGAAGACAAGACAACCAACAATTTGCCCCCAATTGCGGCGCATGTTGGCATATTGGAGCAAGATGATGATACCGATCTTTTGTTCCTCCAACAAAGAAATAGAACAACAAAAACACTTATTCTTCCTTGATATCCCACTCCGCCACTGTCTATAACCACTTTTGGCGACTTCTCCTCCTTCACCGACTCTCTGTTTCTGTCGAATTGGGCCACTGTCACAATACGAGACGATCCCACTGTCACTCTCTGTTTCCCTCCCTCTACGTGCCCCCTCGCTTTGTGCAATCGCTCTTGCTCTGCCCCGTCCCGGTTGGAATCGTCGGAACCAAGTTTCTGAAGGTGCATAACGACTTTCTCACCGAATGAGAAGGCGCCGAGTTAGGTAAACATCATCTATCCTTCCCCAATCCCTCCTTTGTTATCACGCTACGGTATGACGAATTCGACATCTCTAGATTGATTTATGTTTACGGTTTTCTTTGCTTCTGGGTCGCAGTGGAGCAAAATTAGCTCTTGAGATGAGACTTTTGTTCTGCTATTGCGTTCGCTGCTTTCCCAATTGGTCCAAATAGACAAACGTGAGCAGCATGGTGAGTTTTAGCTAGAGGACTTTGTTTCTCAAATTCTAGAAGAACATTTCAGAAGCTTGTCTGGACATGTAATCACTCACTGCAAAAATCAGCTTCAACAACGTCCAACATCGACAACGCAAAGCAAAGCAAGACGAATTACACAGAGCGAGGGGGCGGCGTTGAGGTGGCTACTCTCTTCTTCCTCGATTTGGGATCACCTGGTATTGTGATGGTGGCCCAATTCGACGAAAACAGAGGGCTAGTGAAGACAGAGAAGTTGTCTGAAGTCTAGTCCGCCGGAGAGGAATATCGAGGAACAACAGGAAGAATTCCCGGAATACAGTAAAAATTAAACATAATTCTCTTAATACATAAGATTTACACAATTTTCTCAAACTACCCAAGTTTCAAAGGGTTCGAGTCCCATAAACTCGAACAACTCTCAAGTTCGACGATGAAGAACTCAAACTGGAATCAGATAGAGTTCCTAAAACTCGATCAACATTAGTTCAATTTTGGAGAAATCGATCAAAGTAGAACGATGACAAAGGACTCGATCATAGTAGATCGAGTTTGGACAACTCGATGCAGCAAGATCGATGCCAAAAATCTCGATCTAGTACAACGACTTTAAAGCACTCGATCCATATCTGCACAAGATCGATGCTTTAAAACTCGAACAACCAAAATCGATTCCAATGGGCTCGAACCACTGGTCCACCGACATGCTTTAGGATAGGGTTGCAGGGATAAGATTCTTTGTTGTCATAGATCGAGTTTTAGGGACTCGAACTAGGGTAGTTCGATTGCACTGAACTCGAACCACTGCTCAATCATTCTGTCCAGTCGCTTTCGGTCCGACATGCTCCAGAATAGGGTGCAGGGGTAAAATTATTGGTTGCCCTAGATCGAGTTTAATGGACTCGAACTAGTGTAGCTCGAGTTTTTTGGGCTCGAACCACTCCATCAGTTTACGAGGATAAACAACCATCACTTAGCACATTCTGGCAGCTCTCTTCCTTTCTATCTTCTTTCTTCCAAACACAAACTGCAGCTGCTGGAGCACCATAGCTGAGCAAAGAAGAAAATTTTTGGAGGTAAGTTCTGCTTACGTTGTTTGAATGAGCATATTAGAATTTTGGATTAATTTAGTATTGTTTGTACTGTATGTAATGAGCTGCTTCTATAAACTGCAGAAATGGGTAGAAAATTTCGAAAATTCAACTTAAAGATTCGGTGGAATGGTCGAGTTACACATTTTCATGATAGTATTGACTACGAAGATGGTGAATCAAGTACTGTCCGGATTGAGAGCATATTTACTTGGCAAGAACTCAGTCATATTTGTGCAGAACGATGTTGCATAGGAGGGTGAAGAGTATGCAAGATGACTTACCGTATGCCGGTTTACAAGGATTATGCACTTGTATATGAAGGATCAGTTTTGTCTGACGATGATGACATTAATATATGATGGTGAGATTTTTTGCAGAGAATAGATTTCCAACTGTTGAGGTGTATATCGAGGCAGAAGTTTTTGGCCAATATGGTGGCGGCGGTTATACCGAACAAGGTGAAGGATCGGGAGGGTTTTCCAGTTCAGGAGATTTCAGAGTCCTGCATGATGCACCATGGCCAACATACAAGGATCTAACTGCAACTGGTCCATTGGTGGAACATGACGGACAGGAGTGGCCAGTATGGGGTGAAGAATGAGATTACATAAGGGCACCCAGACAGTCACCCATCTACACCAGCATCTGGCATCAACAATGATCCGTATGTGGATAAACCAAGTCCTCCGTACACTAGCGAGGCAAACGACGTGGAAGATTAAGAGTTAGAATCAATGAGTAGTTCAGATGGTGAAGATCTGGAAGTTGACGTTGGGGAAATTGAGCCCCCCACACCTCACTGCACGATGGTGCCACAACATCCTCTCTATGCTCACAACGACGATCCTGACCTCCCTCCTATACCTATCTGGACTCCTGACTCTGGATTCGTGGTTGGCCAAACATTTGGAGGAAAGTCTCAGGTGGTCGATGCATTGAAACAAACTGCTATGCTAAGAAGCTTTCAATATCGTGTCATCACTTCTGACACTAAAAAAATTCATGTTCGTTGAGAGAACCATGGTGACGGATGCATGTGGCAAGTTCGGGCGACATATGTTAAAAGAAATGGGGCTTGGCTCATTCGTAAGACAGACAACAACCACACTTGTAGGTCGTCACTGATTTCTCTAGATCACCGACAATTAAGTGCAAGGAAGGTTGCACAAACAATCAAACATCTGATTGAGGCACAACCTGGGATCACCGTGAAGAGTGTCATCGCTGAAGTGAAGAATCGACATGGCTATACCATCATTTACAAGAAAGCATGGCATGGGAAGCAAAAAGCTATGGCAGAGGTGTATGGCGATTGGGAAGAGTCATTTGCTAACATGCCTCGTTTGATTCTTGCAATGGTGGACAAGAATCCTGGGTCTGTTTTTGTGCCTAGTTACGAAGATTTTTATGGGGGGTGCTAAACGCGTGTTTAAGCGACTATTTTGGGCATTCAACCCATGCATTGATGGTTTCACCCATTGTCTGCCAATAATCCAAGTTGATGGCACCTTTCTGACCGACTAATACAAGGGCACTCTACTCGTTTCCACTAGTGTTGATGGCAGTATGAAACTTTTCCCGCTTGCTTTTGCTATAGTCGAATCGGAGAACAACTTAAGTTGGGCATGGTTTTTTTCCCAACTATACACTCATGTCACTCAACGGAAGGACATTGCCATACTTTCTGATCGACACCATGGAATTGCACATGCTTTCTACGACCTGCCCGAGGAGCTAGGGTGGAAGTGGCGCTGGTGCATACGACATTTCAAAAGCAATTACGGGAAGCACTTTGGTAGAACTTATGGACAACTTGCAGTTTGGCACGCTGGTAAGAACAAATAAGATTTTGTGATTACATCAATTGGTTGAATGCTTATACTCTTTACTAACCTTATTTTGCTTTATTGTAGCTATTGCTTTTCGGACTCGAAAGTTTTTAGACAAAATGAAGAGCATAAAGGAGGTCCACTATGAAGGTGCAGATTGGCTAGAAACTCATCCTTTTGAGAGGTGGACGTTACATCAAGACGAAGGGTATAGGTATGGAATAACAACAACGAACATGGATGAGTGCCTCAATGGTTTGTATGTTGGTCTTCGTGCAATGCCTATCTCATCTATAGTCTTGCATACCTTCTTTCGTATGGTGACATGGTACGTTGAACGCTACCAAGCAGCATATCAGATGCTGAATGCTGGAATCTACTTCCCAAAGAAGATTACGGATGATATGAAACCATGGTTGGAAAGGGCAAAATGGAATAAGATGACTTTATTTAGTCGAAGAGATTCCCGCTTCGCAGTAGTAACAGGAAGTGGACCAGATAGTTCAAAGGGTGGTAATGCTCAAACAGTTATACTGGATGCAAAGAATGGAATAGGAGAGTGCACTTGTGGGAAGTTTCATGGGAGACACATGCCTTACTCTCATGCAAATGCAGCTGCGAGAAGCGTTAATTTGGACCCTTTGACATTTTTTAGTCCATACTACAAGACTCCATACGTGGTCAGAGTTTGGGAAGGGTCGTTCTTTCCCTTAGCTCATGAAGCATATTGGCCCCAGTATGATGGACTTGTAGTGCACCCTCCCGAGCACATGAAGCGTACCAAAGGTCGACCTAGAGTTAACCGAATTGCAAATGAAATGGATAGATCAAGGACACAGCGACGCCGCCCGAAGAAGTGCTCTGCATGTCGAGTTGAAGGGCATGATAAGCGCCAGTGTCCAGGGCCATCGACTGATAATTAAAAGTTTATGTTGTAATTTGAATTTTATGTTGTGATTTAAGAACTTTATGTTGTAATTTGAATTTTATGTTGTGATTTAAGAACTTTATGTTGTAATTTGAATTTTATGTTGTAATATGAATTTTATGTTGTGAAATAGAAAAACTTAACAACTCTAGAGAAATAGAACACCTTAACAACTCTAAAGAAATAGAACAACTTAACAACGTCATTAGAAATAGAACACCTTAACAACTCTAAAGAAATAGAACAACTTAATAACGTCATTAGAAATAGAACAACTTAACAACTCTAAAGAAATAGAACAACTTAACAACTCTAAAGAACACTTCACTCTTGTGCACCACGTCTGCGTCCCTCTCTTAGACGTCTATTCCTTGAACGAACTCCATATCCAATTCCAGTATTTCGTGGCAATGGAGGTGGGGTTGCAGTGGCTGGAGGACCATAATAAACATTTGTCATCGGAGTCTGGAAGCTTTGCTGCGGGGTTTGAAATTGATGACCATACGATGAAGCATAGTAGGCTCCTCCTCCCCCTCCTTGAGCAGGACCTGATGATCCCTCTGCGAATTCCCTTTTGACGGGAGGGAATCCATACTCGTATGGGTCAGGAAGTGCCACATCTTCTCGTACGTGCACAGGGACTGTAACTGGCTCTTGCCGACGTTTACTCCTCCTTGGTGGTGATGGCGGGAGAGATTCAACTTCAATGGCGTGGGAGGAAGGACGTGGCGGTACAGGTGCAGGAGGATATGCAATGACATCCCTTCGGATTTCCCGCGAACATGACAAGAGATTCTTGAAGAGCTTCTTCAAGAATGAAATTTTCTCAGCTGGCATATCTTGTTCTGGTTCATTCTCCAACGTCATTGATGCAAGTTCCAACCCATCAACCTAAATAATAAACATGTTAGTCAAACACTCTTTGTGTAGCTAAAGTGATTATAGTAAATAGATATTGTGCTTACCAATGAACCGATCACGGCACCATGTTTGGTTACCCATCTTTTTGTGAACTTGCGGTACCAAACCATGTATTCATCTTGGTACCCCATTGGCCTCATCATTGGGATCCCATCAATTGCATACGTATGACGAGACTTCCACATTTCAATCCATCTATGGTGCTTGGTTGGCCAATCACTGATTGTACCCCGTAGATCCTTGTTGTACTTGTGGAGTGACTTATGTACGTCCGGTGGTGGGAGAGGAATCGGTTGCGCCCAATTATATTGTCGGACACATCTATCCGGGAGGTGCCACTCGACATGTTGTGTCAAATCACAGACAACTTGCACGACCAGAGTCGACGATCCTCAGGGTATCACAACTAGTACAAATCCTTTGCTCCGTTCGGATACGGATCCCACTCCACCTAAGTTTCAACACAACATATAAATTAAAATCGAAGCAAATAATTTCAACAAATAAAATAGGATTCATAATCATAAAAATAAATAATGGGCTAAGACAAATAATTTCAACAAATAAAATAGAATTCGTAATCATAAAAATAAATCATAGGCTAAGAATAAGACAAATAATTTCAACAAATAAAAAGTTATTCATAATCATAAAAATAAATCATGGGCTAAGACAAATAACTTCAACAAATAAATTAGCATTCATAATCATAAGCTAGAATGTTACCTCGTTGAATTCTATACGGTCAAGATGTTGGCGGTACCCGTCTAGAGAGGTGAGTCTCATGATAGCTCCAATCCATCTAGCACCATAAGCCCATTGTCGTAGTGGCTCATCGGTACCCCAACTATTGGCAGAGCAGATCGGAGCGAAAGTAGGAAGGTGCTCCCAAACCCATAGTTGGAGGATGAAAATGGGACCACCCGCTTGCTTTGTTTTCGGATCCGTACACTTGCACAACTCCGAATATATCATCGCCAAACAAGCAGATCCCCAACTTTTTCTCCCAATCTCGTTCCAATCTTCCAAAAGAACTCGAAGCCACATACAATGCATATTTCCACCAGACTTGTTCTGAAACAAAGATCCTCCAACCAAACAAATAAGGTAGATGCGAGCATACCACTCTATCTGAGCATTCGTGGCATCCTCCGATAATTCTCCAACGGTCCTCACTAGCCAAGGTATCAATAACATAGACTTGTGTAGAGGTGGTACACGACGACCTTCTTGTGATTCCTCGGGGATGTTGATACCTAAATGCTCGCTTATAAATTGGCCCCAACCATTCAATGGTTTCTGTGAACTTTCTATTATTGCATCACCATCAATTGGAAGCTCTGTCAGCATGGCTACGTCCTTTAACGTAATCGTCATCTCTCCCTCTAGAAGGTGGAATGTGTGCGTTTCTTTTCTCCATCTTTCCACCATTGCCGTAAGAAGGTTGTTGTTCATCTACATCCCCACAAACTTTCGCACCCTCAGCCATCGCACTCTTTCAATGAAGGGCTCGATACGATCATCCCATTTAGGCAAGTGAGATAGCGACCGATGGGTGATTACGTCAAGTTGTTCCTGTAGAAAAAATAACTTTAATTATTATACAAAAAAAATTAGAAGAATACTATCACATTTAAAAAAAGAAAAGTACATGAGGAAGTGCTCACCAGATCTGCCGTCCAAACACTTTCAGACCGATGGTAAGGTTGCTCATCCAACAAATCGGTTTCTCGCGGTCCGCCTTGAATGTATAATATAGGATCGTAAATACTCGGATCCATCTCGAAAATTTTGAGTGATAGAAGTATCAAACTAAAGAAAAAAAATATGATGCGGAAGATCAGGCTTAGCCGCAACCACAGAGCATATTTTTTTCTTCAAGAGTGGTGGGAGGAAGAGAAGAAGAAGAATGGAGTGGTGTGAGTTTTGGTGGAATAAGAGGGGGTATTTATAAGTTCTGTGGGAGAGTGGATCGAGTTTACGTAACTCAAACCAGTGCATCGATTTCGGGGCACTCGATCCGCGTCAAAAGCAGGTCGAGGTTTGGTACAACGAACGACTCAGATCGAGTTTAAGGCACTCGATCACGTCATCGATCCGCGTCAATCAGATCGATTACCAGGCACTCGATCTACCTTCATCGAGTTTACCCCACTCGATCCGCGTCACAACTGCTTCGCGGGTTCGGCAATCAAACGACCTAGATCGAGTTTAGGGTACTCGATCGACGGCAGAGCGCGCCTGACATCATCGATCCGCGTCAATCAGATCGATTAACAAGGACTCGATCTATGTACATCGAGTTTCCTACACTCAATCCGCGTCATCACTGCTTCGCGGGTTTAGCAACCGAACGGCCTAGATCGCTTCCCGGTACATCGATCTAGGGTGGAACGCTGCCCAGGTCATCGATCCGGGTCCTGCTGTTCGAGTCTTCCATCCTCGATGCACGTGGATCGATTTGTTGGCAGTCGATCCATTACTAGTTCGAGTTTGTTGAACTCGAACCGTGTCAAAATTTGGTAGTTTGAGAATTTTTTATAAAAGTTATGTATTCTGGGAATTATTTTTAATTATTACTGTATTTAGGGAATTAATCCGGAAGAACAAGTGTTTCTTCCTTTTGCGTTCGTTTGTCTAGTTCTTTGTTTCTGGCAAAAACTAAATAAGTTAAAGTGGAAGGAATTAAATGAAAAATAAAAAAACAAACAGACAAACGACGATGCTTTTTTGTTTGTGTGGGCAGTTGCCATTTTGGGCCACCACTCATTGGCCACTCGGTTTGACAGAGGATTAGTAAGCCCAGTTAGTGCCACATCATAGTCTAGGTGGACCAATCAGCAAGAGCGACACCATAGTATTGGCTTTGGTGCCACCTTCATAATTTGCGTGGCATTAGTTTCACACATTTTTCGATATATTCAAAGATCCGAAGTGATAAAATGAGGAAATCTTAAGAAAGGATTACAGAGAAAAGGGGAGTTTGCATAACAGTTTCGAGGGGGTTCTTGACGGTGCGGAGCGGTTTTGGGGTGGTTACCGACGAGTGGTTGTCGTTGATGGGGCGTTTCTCCAACGCCCCTTGCTCCGGTTCCATTTTCCGGGTAATCACGTAGTTGTGGGCATCACCTACGCAAGTATACAAATCGTCGCATGAGTCTAGGAGAGAAAGGTTAGGAGGGGAAGCGATTAGTTTCGATCTTTTCTCCGTTTCCCATCGATCTGGTTCCTTTGTTCGTGTGCTTCAGAAGCCATGGGCATCACCCACGCTCGAGGAGCGGATGGAGGTTTGCTTCTTCTTCCTTCCTTCGGTTTCTGGTCGCCGTCGTGTCTTCGACGCTCAAGAATTGAGGATCTCGATCGCAACCATGATTGATAATTCTAAGGAAGTCGTGGGTGTCCCCCACGCACACTCCCCTCCTATTGATGGGTGATTACCTTTTTTGAGGGGTGGATCTCTTCCTTCCAAAGCCTATATGCTTTTGTTCTTCACTTGTAGGATGAAAAAGTTTTTTTTTCTTCTTCTTCAAGTAGTATACTTGTTGTGGCGACTTTGCAGGGTTGATTATTCGGATTTTCATGCGGATCTTTGGAAGACTTCTGCAACTCGAGCGGCTATGGTGGACTTTGCTCATTGCATGGATTAGGCTGTTCGGGTTGTTTTTGCGGGTGCCGTAGTTTGTACTTTTCTGGGTTCAATGGTTTGTGTTCCATGGTTACAGAGCGGCTCATTTGGTGGCCACTCAGGCTCTATTCTTGTCGCCTAATTTGTTTGATGTTGGACTTTGTTTCTTTGTTTCACAGTAGGCATGATTCTGTTGTATGCAAGGGTCGACCCACTTTGACCCTGGTCCGGTGAGAAGAATGGATTGCACGTACCTGCTGGGTCGACCACTACAAGGTACCAGGTTAGAGGTCAAATTGTGTCTTTTTTCTTTGGTTTGCGAAATGCGTCTATTTTCCGATCTTTCTTTTCGCATAACTCAATCTTTGGATTCCTAAATTGAACATTTGAAAATTGATGTTATATAAGTGTGTGTGAATTTTCACTATATGTTGGATCTAAGTACGAAATGTTATTTTGGTGTAATACTATATGTTATAACTCATATGTTATATGAGATTTGATATAATTTATCAGGAGAAAATACAATATAATGACTCTTTACATATTTTCGGGCTAAACCGGACTAGACCGGGTGATCCATTAACTTTTGACCCACTAGCTCGACCGGGTTCGGATCAACCCGCAGGTTGACAACCTTGGTTGTATGCATACAAATCTTTGTTTGTTCCTTTTAGGTTAAATGTCACATTTGGTCACTAAAATTACTAAATCGTGTCATGTTTAGTCACTAGAAAATGTTAATATCAATTTTGGTCAATCGAATTACTGGAACATGTCACATTTAGTCACTCTCCCGTTAGCCTCCGTCCAACTTCAGTCACTCGAATTACTAAAACATGTCACATTTAGTCACTCTTCCATTAGTTTCCGTCCAACTCCATTAGAGTTGGACGGAAACTAATGGAAGTTGGACGGAAACTAATGGAAGAGTGACTAAATGTGACCTGTTCCAGTAATTCGAGTGACCAAAATTGATATTAATTTTTTTTAGTGACTACTAATGACACGATTTAGTAATCTCAATGACCAAATGTGGCATTTGCCCGTTCTTTTTATTTAAGAGTGATCTAATGAAAAAAAAAAAAATCTTAAGGGTGCTGTAGGCCCAAGCCCGCCAAAACTCCAAACCAAGCCCAATAATATCCACATCGTTCATTTCACCGCTTTACCGACGGCTAGGCCAGAAGTTGCAGATGCCGGATAGTTCATTAATTTCGTAAGGGTCGGAACGAGAACCGATTCGACCCGGCCCGCCTTCTCCGCCATCTCAATCCGCTGGATCAGCATTCATTTCCGGTCAAGCGAAAAAGAAGCGCAGAAAAAAAATCTGAGCTATCACAATTCACAAGCAAAGCTTGGTTGCTCCAGCCATGGCGGCCTGCTTGCGAGTGCTCCCGGCGGCATTCTCCACGCCGTCTTCCGCTGCAAATTCGTCTTCTCTCCGGAGGAGGAGTTTGAATATTGGTTGCTCCGCCACGGGTTCCAAGAACTCGGCTAGAATCCCTATGCCGCCGATTAATCCCAACGATCCTTTCCTCGCGAAGCTCGCCGCCGCCGCCGCCAATTCTCCTGAACCGCTCGACACTCGTCCTTCCAGCTCCGACTCGCCGCCGTACCTCGACCTCTTTGACTCGCCCAAACTCATGGCGACTCCCGCTCAAGTAAGCTCCCTCGATGTTCATCGTTCTTGACCTCCTCTTTGCAGTTCCGAGTAGTTCTAGTTTGGTTCGTTTGCTGATTGTTCGCGGAATTAGGTGGAGAGGTCGGTTTCTTACAACGAGCACAGGCCAAGAAAGCCACCGCCGGACTTGCCTTCGTTGCTGCTTCACGGGAGAATAGTCTATATCGGGATGCCTGTAAGTTAATTGAACGAGAGTCTGTTTCCTGGACTTCAACTTCAGCTTGTTCCATTAAGTGCTGGCCTGTGCTTTCTTTCGTTCATTCTCTCTTTGTGCTCTGCAATCCGGTTCATTCTGGTTGATACTTGGTTGTGCTTGCGTTCAGTTGGTACCGGCAGTCACAGAGCTCGTAGTTGCAGAATTGATGTACTTGCAGTGGGTGGATCCTGAAGAACCAATCTATATGTACATAAATTCCACAGGGACTACTCGTGATGATGGTGAAACAGTAAGATTGCTTCTCAGTATGTCTAATTATGTATACGATCGTTTGAAGTTTTGATCTGTTAATGAGTGGACACATGTGGTTTTTACTAATTACTATATACTGAATAGATAATCTTTGTGTCATGGTTATGTTTCATCTGCTGATATTGATCAGACTGTAGTCAGATAGTTTTTGATTGTGTATGGAACTGACAGATGGGCTGAATTAGGGAGTATATTAGTCCTTGGTGTAATTTTTTTCTCGAGTTAACTAGTTCCTTGTGTGTATCAGAATATAAGATCTTTGCTTAATATACCGTGTTTCTCTTTCCTGCAGGTTGGGATGGAGACGGAAGGTTTTGCCATCTATGATTCGATGATGCAAATGAAAAATGAGGTGAGTTTCTTAGCCAAGTTAAGCTTCAGTATTTGGAGAGGTTCAGTAGATGATGTTATGCAGAATCCTTTATGCTGCTGGGCACCCTTTTCTTTCTTTGGTTGACTGTTTGCCTAGGGATAACTGTAGAGTAGTTTAGATAACTAAATCAGGAGAGGTAGGTTGAAGTGATCTGATGACATTCTGATTATTGCCACCAATGCAGCACTCTTTTAATGGAATGGGACGGTTTAATTTGTTAGTAGATAACGTCACTGATGTTGTTGCTTCGGTAGATACACACGGTTGCTGTTGGTGCTGCAATTGGTCAGGCTTGTCTTTTGCTTGCTGCAGGAACAAAGGGAAGACGTTTTATGATGCCACATGCCAAAGGTGATAACCCTTGTACTTCTTACCCTGTTCTGAGTTAATACCTCTCACTCATCTAATCGATTATTGGGTCAAACTTCATTTCAGCAATGATTCAACAGCCGAAAGTCCCATCGTCAGGTTTGATGCCTGCTAGTGATGTTTTAATCCGTGCAAAAGAGGTTAGTTAGATTCACTTAATCTCTGGACTGCAGTTAAACGGTTGATATTGCTTATGTTTTCTCTCTTGTTTGTTCAGTGCTTTCCTCTACTTGATGGGCCAATTTATTGCATTTGATTGATGTATAGAGGTGACTAGATGATGTGATGAAACATTTCAAAATCATTCTAAGAACACCATAAATTCTTGTGATTTTTTTCCAAGGAAAGATGTAAAGCTTTCCCGGAAAAATGCTGGGACTCTTTTAAGCTGGTTTGTGACTATTCTCATGCCTTAAGTAGTCGTGTATTTTAGGTATGGGACCTGCCTTTGACAGGCTATAACGAACAAAGCCACTCTCGTTTGATGATCTGTATCTGTTGAAGAATGCTAAAAAACATTCTGCATAATTAACAATTTCTCTTTCGTGATATATATTTCTGTTTCATTATGGCAGGCTATAAGTAACAGAGACACTCTGGTTGAGCTTTTGGCCAAACACACAGAAAACGTGAGCATGCCTTCACTAATCAATACTTCCTCCTTCTCAATTGTCCTTCTACATAGTATGCTAAGCAATATTCTGGAACTGATTACACTCTTTTATCTTCAATAAGTCCGTGGAGACCGTGGCTAATGTGATGAGAAGACCATTCTACATGGACGCCAAACGAGCCAAAGAATTTGGTGTCATTGACAAAGTAAGTCCACACTTGAAATGGTGTGTATGTTTTGAGCTATGTTAAATAGTAGGTGACTTTTTCTTAAGTTTCTTTAGTTGAACTTGAGAAAAAGTGTGGTTGGATTTTTTTTTATTTAAAAAATTGAGTTTATGGTTGGATTTAAATCAACTTCTTTTCTTTTAGCCAAAACAAACACACACGTTTCATGTTTCATATCTGTCATCCCATGTTCAAGTGTCGCAAACTCATCCATTTGATCTCTAATGCTCTCGAAACCTTCACAGATTCTATGGCGCGGACAGGAAAAGATAATGTCGGACATTTTGCCTCCAGAGGAATGGGACAAGTTGGCTGGCATCAAAATCCCAGATCCCTTCTAGTTACCGCATTTCCGGTTCAATTGTACTGGTTCTTGTTATACTGTAAACAACTTCAATTTTCTCAGCTTCCATGGCCTCCAGAGCATATAAAATCCTGGAGGTTTTAGCTCTCAATAGATGGCTACTAGTTTTCTGTCAGACTAGGGAAAGAAACAACACTTTGGTGATGTGTAGCGCGTGGAAATGATATCACTGGATGGCCATTGTTACTTAGATTGATATGGCAGATTCTTCTCTAAATTTTGCGGTTGGTTAGTGTTTGAGCCTAGAATGTTTCAGGCGATTGTGTGCAGAGCAAGCAAGGCGTCTGTTCCGGATGAAGGGTGCACTCCAACTCCTACAAAACAAGGGTCCGTGGGCGGTTCCCAGGACGCCCTCCAATGCCTAAGTTAGAGAGAGAATAAGAAGTGTTGTTTAGGTTTAGATAGAGAGAGAGTAGTTGAGTTACCATTAATGTCGATACCGGTCTATTTATAGTCAGCCAGCTTAGGTATGAGGCATTAAATGCCTTGTCAGGCGGCCTAGACACGTTCGACTTTATTTGGACCGCCTGCGGCGGGCATTAAATGTTCAGTCATGCTGTGTACGAGGTAAGTATCCTAGGAAGATCTACTTTTCCTGACACCAATGGTCTCCTGTGTCAGGCGGCCTACTTCCCGTCACTTCATAGGGCGGCCGCCTGTGGTGTCTCTTTTCCCCATGTCTCCTCGGGTCTCGCTCTTTGACTCGGTCCCTTTCTTGGGCTCAGCCTCTCTGTCTCCTCGTGGGCCTACGCGGGCCTCTTAGGCCCAATACTACTTAACTATGGGCCCAACAATTGCCCTTTAGTCGTGAAAAGCTGCGGGTTTTGGCGGCTACATGTTTGCTCAGCGATAGTTAAGCGGTTCCGTGTTTAACAAACACCTGCCCTTTGCCCCTGGCCGCCAAGAGATGAGGGTTTTCAGCTATGCGTTCCGCTGTCCTTACTGTGCGACTTCTTTGATGCCGGCCTCTAACTTTGATGAGCGTTCTCGCTGTTCCCCTCCCGTAGGACGTGCGCGAAGTGTGCGCATTCAAGTCTCTGAGCGGTTTTTCTGTAAGCTTTGTGTGCGAGCGCTGTCCACCCCTTGCAAATCGTGCATGAAGTTCCTAGTTCTGGTATTTTTGAAGCGGTTTCTTCGAGTGCGCTTGGAGCTCCTGCGGATTGCGTTCGTTAGTTACTTCGGGCTTGCGCGGTTCAATCGGCCGTCGGTTCGGATTTCGCGGAACGCCACGCCATTGCATGTTGCACCACGTGTCCGTTCTCGGAATCCGAGCCTCTGACAGCGGGCAGTTCTACGTCCAATCACCTGCCCGCTTTTTTGAAATCCTTAGACTAGGTTTATTCTCGGTCACTTAACCGTCGCTTCGCCTGCCCTCCTTCTTTTCCTATTTATACTCGCTTTCCCTTTGGATCTTTCACATTCTGCTTTCGTTTCTTCATATTAGCCACAATTGCTCACTGCTCTCGATTCTCCCTTTCTTCCTATTTGCGAGAGAGTTCTTCTTTGTCACCGGCACGAACGGATTTTCTCAAGAAGCTCCGACGTAAACAGAAGCGAGCCAAAAGAAAATTGAAGTCCAGAATGGCGATCGAGTCACAGAGCACCACACAATCTGATAGCAAGAATCAGAATCTGTCAAGTGACGTTGCTGCCGTCAACACTTCCAGCGGCGGCGCTGCTACTACCGCCTCCGGGGATGTTCCTCACACTTCGGGTAGTGCTCCCCGCTCGTCAGGTGGACCGCCTTCCGCGGGCAAATAACCCGCAACAGGTACTTAGTCCTCTTCCTTTTACGCGGTTATAGATTAGGTTTCCAATTAGCTTTCGTCTTGCGCGCGTTTTGCTAGCGAAATACTTAGGAGGTCCTTCTGTGGCCTTTTAGGAATAGAACCTGCTCTCCAACTTGCCGCTGGGACGTCGACTGGTCGGCGTGGAGCATCCTCGGCGGTTGGTGATAACTTGGGAGGCTTCGACTACTCAGAGGCTGAGAGCGAGCCACCCACTGCTCCTGTTGTTGCCCTTTCTTCGGACAGCGAGTCTGGTGAGTGCCCAGTGGTGGGCGAAGGGGAATTACAACTATCTGGTGAGCGCCCAGTGGAGAGTGAGAGGGAGTTATCCCCTTCGCTAACGATATCTGAGTCGCTCCCAGTGGCGGCGTTCCAAGCTGTCAGTGACAGTGTCTACCGCGTAAGACTACACGCGGACATGTGGGAGGGGGAGGCGGTTCCTCAGAGTGCGTTCGAACAGGGACCGCCTAATGAAGCGGCTTATAAGCCTCATCAGGTTTTGCGTCAACTGAAAACGCATGGTCTCCCTGCTGACTGGGACTATGCGGCTCCGTCACCCATTGGGCGGTCTGGGTCATGCCCCGGAGGTTGGATTCCCATCCATGTAGAGCACATTCGGATGGGGTTGACTTTTCCGCTTGACCCCATCATTACGAGAACACTTTTGTTCCTGAACTATTCATTGGGCCGCCTGTCGCCCGGTATAGTCTTCCATTCCATCGCCTTTAGAGCCGCCTGCGAGACGATCGGTGAGACGGCTTCTTTTGATGCGTTTCGACTGCTGTACAAAATGAGGGGCTCGGAAAACTGCTGGTCCTGTTACCGCCGGGAAGCGAAAATAGGATTTGTGAACAGGGCGCCGAAATTGGATTCCCCTTGGTTTAAAGAGTATTTTTTCGCCCGCCCCAAGGGCAGCTGGTACTCTGGTGACGTAGAGCCGCCAACCGGGTTCGCGGTTGGAGATAAGAAGGATTGGAACACTGACACCGCCGGCCTCAAAACTTTTAGACCGCTTTTAAAGCGGCTCATGAGTGCTTATCGGATTGATCTCCCCCCGAAAGGCAGTGATAATGCCTTGGAGATTATTCGGCGTTTTCATGGTTAGCCGCTTTCCCTTTGTACTAAATGCATACACTTGTCTATTACTCATGTAGTTTTCGTTTTCAGGTGCTCGTCGCTATGCTTACGCTGCAAGACCGCCGAAACCCGGCGCTGGCGCTCCTTCTCCTCATCCCACCAACGCTGCTTGCTTAGCGGCTCCTCCTGCTCGACCGCCCTCACCGTCTCAAAAGCAACTAGTGCCCAACCGCTCAGGGGTTTTGAAATTGTCTGAACCTGCTCCTTCCAGGAGGTCTTCTAAGCGGCCTTTGGACATAACAACTTCAAGGGATTTGGCTGCAACCGCTCAAGAGCCTCGATTGAAAGGCGTTCTGGCGGAGAAGCCTGCTACTCCACTTGACGCGTACATCGCTCACAAGAAGCCCAAGAGGACCGCTGTCGACACCTCTGTTTCCTTCTCGTCTCAGGCTTCCCTCTACCCTTCGGCCGCTAAGCGTGCCATGCACGTGATTGCCGAGGGTTTGGCGGTTCCCAGAGATTATACTCACACTTAGGGGACTACCGTCTTAGCGTCCGACACTAAACATCTGGCGGCTGCCACCTCGCGGCTCTTCTTTGCGGTACGTGCCCCTTTTATTTCTCCGGTTGTGTTACCATACCTTGCTGTTTTACTTAACTTTTATTGTCTACAGACCCAGTTTGGTTTAAACCAAATGATGTTGCAAAATGACCGCCTGGAGAGTGACCTCTTGGACGAGAAGACTCGGGTCCTCAAGCTAGAGGATCAGCTCAAAGAGGACCGCGAGGGGATTAAAGCGGAGGTGCAGGCAGAGGTTTTGAAGGAGCAGGCGCAGCTGGTGAAGGGGAAGGATGTTCAAGTGGAGTCAGCCAGGGAACAACTAAAGAAAGTTGAAGCAGATGCCGAGCGGTTGCGAGCGGAACTTAACGATTCCCTTGCTCGGGAGAGCGCCCTGCAGACTGAGCTGTCTAAGATCCGGGCGGAGAAGTCTGAGATGCAGGACGCCCGGGAGGCCGACATGCTGCAGGCTGCCAAGGAGGCGAGAGAGAGATTCTGGACTTCCGAAGAGTACCAGGTCGCCGACGACAAGAAGTACAAGAAGCTGCTTCGCGACACCGTGGCCGCCATCCGTCATTGGTTCCGCCGTGAATATCCCGAGGTAGTATGGGACACTAACTCGATTTGGGATGCGGTTGAGTTCTGGAGTGATGATGACATCAACTCTAAATATGTGCCATCTCCCGAAGCGCCTACTGTTCCCTCGACGAGCATCGCGGCCGGAACCGCTGAAGACGAGGAGGGTGGGCAAGATGGAGAACAACAGGATGGCGAGGAGCAGCCGGAGGGGGAGGACGGTCAGCGCAATGACGGTGGGGAGTAGCAAGATTAGGTTTTAAGTTGGGACTTGTTTTTCCTTTCCTTTTGTTGTGTAAACTTAATCTGCCTCGGCAGTAGATATTTTGGTGTGCCCCTTGTGGGTGCTCCTGTGGAATGTTTGAATTTTTTCTTCGTATTATCTTGTGATCTATCTTGCGCAGGCGGTTATAGCTTTTTAGGGCGGCTCATGGATTCTGCCCATTAGAAGCGGCGTTCGGGGCGGTTTTGTATCACATCTAGCGCTTACGAGCGGCGTGATGACTTTCTTTGAAGCGATGCGCTCAAAGGCGGTTAAGTATTTCATCAAACGCTTAGGAGCAGTTTGCGTGTTGCGTTTTGCTCAGAAGCATTATGCTCGGGGCAATAGTGTATTATGCCCAACGCTTAGGAGCGGTTTACGGATTTTGCTTTTTTGCTTTGAAGCATTATGCTCTGGGGCAGTTGTATGCTATATCCGACGCTTAGGAGCGGTTTACGGGTTTTGTTTTGCTTTGAAGTGTTACGCCCTAAGGCGTTTATATATTATGCCCAAACGCTTAGGAGCGGTTTACGGATTTTGCTTTTTTGCTTTGAAGCATTATGCTCTGGGGCTGTTGTATGCTATATCCGACACTTAGGAGCGGTTTACGGGTTACTCGTTTTTGCTTTGAAGCACTATGCTCTAGGGCAGTTGTTTAAATTGACAAGGAACGCTCGGTGGCGTTTTCTAATTGACAGGGGACGCTCGGTGGCGTTTTCTCATTCAACTTCCAAAAGTAGGTGGCCTACATGATATTTCCCCAAAAGACGCCTCCTCTCGAGCGCGTCCCAGAAGACGGTCACCTGAAGAATTACTCGTAGTATTTCTTCAGGTTAATGGCATTCCAAGTCTTCGCCATTGGTTTTCCCTCCATCGTGGCTAGTATGTATGTCGCTGGACCCAACTTTTCTCCTACGAGGTATGGTCCCTCCCATGCGGCCGCCAGCTTGCCATGTCCCTCCTTTTGCTCGAAGTTCCTCTTCAGGACCATGTCACCTTCTTCCAATGGCCTGGGCTTTACTTTGGCGTTGTACGGCTTGGCGGTCTTCATCTTCTCTTCTAGGGTTCTGACCAGCGCGGCGTCTCTTCTTGTTTCCACCATGTCAAGGTGATGAAGGAGTTTCCTGTGGTTGCTCTCTGGGTCATACGCTTGGACGCGCAATGACTGTAGGACAAGCTCGGTGGGTGCGACCGCTTCTGAGCCATATGTCAGAGCAAATGGCGTTTCTCCAGTAGCCTGCTTGTAGTTTGTGCGGTGCGCCCACAACACGCGGGGAAGTTCCGCGGTCCACCCTCCCTTGGCTTCCTTGAGCCTCCTTTTCAGACCACGCAAGATTAACTTGTTGGAAGACTCCACCTGTCCATTGGCTTGTGGGAATGCTACGGATGCCATTTTGCAGTGGATGCGGTTCCGAGCGCAGAAGTTCTCAAATGGTCTGCAATCAAACTGCGTGCCATGATCAGTTATGATAGTGTGAGGTGTTCCAAACCTGATCATTATGTTGTTGAACAAGAATTTCTGGATTTTGGCACTTGTGATTGTGTCCAGCGGTTCTGCTTCGATCCACTTTGTGAAGTAGTCGACCGCGACCACGAGATACTTCTTCCCCAAAGGAGCTGTGGGGAATGGTCCCAAGAGGTCTAGACCCCATTGTGAGAATGGCCAAGGTCCTGTGATGCTCTTCAGCTGTTCGCTTGGCAGATGGTGCTTGCTAGCGTGAATCTGACATTCATGACACTTTTGGACCGCCTCCATTGCATACCTCTTTACCGTTGGCCAGTAGTATCCTTGAAGCAATATTGTTCTTTCAAGGCTCCGCGGTCCTGAGTGGGTTGCGCAGGTGCCTTGATGTATTTCTTTGACTACCCATTTCGCTTCTTCTGGGCCTAGACACTTGAGATATGTCCCTGAGAAAGACCTCTTGCACAGTTGCCCCTCTACAATGGTGTAGTGAGCCGCTTTCCTTTTGAGTGCCTTAGCCAAGACTGCATTCTCCGGGACAACATCATTCTGCAGGTAATCTACCAATGGGGACCGCCAATCCTGATCGCCGCCCTCGAGGACCATTACTTCATATGCTTGGGCCGCTTCTTTCGTCACTGTTACTCGGCGTTCCCCTTCAAAGTCCATTGCGGTTGCCAGTTTTGACAAGGCGTCCGCATGATGATTATCTTCTCTCTTTACATGCTCAAGCTTCCATGAATCTAACTGAGCTAAAGTTCCTTTGACTTTCCCCGCCAACTTTGCGAGGGCTTCTTCCTTCACCTCGTAGCTTTCCAGCACTTGGTTCACTACCAGCAGCGAGTCGGAGTAGATGTGTAGGTGTGAAGCGCCCATGTTGATGACAATTTTGAGCCCGCTGAGGAGCGCTTCATACTCCGCCACATTGTTGGTTTTTAACTCTAGGAATCTGTGAGAGATTTCATGTATCACTCCCGCCGGTGTCTCGACGACGATTCCTGCTCCCGCTCCTCCTTTTCCCGCTGCCCCATCGACGTAAAGACGCCACACGTCTGCATCCTTCTTCTCCCCGACGCTTTCCAGGCTGAACCCCTCGGCGACGAAGTCTGCGAGCACCTGTCCCTTGATGCAAGGCCGCGGAGCGTATGCAATATCATACTCGCTTAGTACGACCGCCCATTTGGTCATCCTGCCGGACACATCCATTCCCTTCAAAATCTTCTTCAGTGGTAAATTTGACAAGACAATGACTTGGTGCCCTTGAAAGTAAGGACGCAACTTTCTTGCTGCCGTTACGACCGCTAAAACTGCTCTTTGAATAGGCATGTATTGTCTTTTAGCTGGGAGGAGTGCCTTGCTTACGTAGTAGACTGGACGGTCCGAGCCATCGCAATCTCTTCGCACCAAAACCGAGCTGGCCGCTTGATCAGAAACCGCCAGGTAAAGATATAGGGTTTCATCCGGTAGTGGGGCGCTCAGGACAGGGGGCGCAGTCAGCTGCTCTACCAACTGAAAGAAGGCCTTATCACATTCCGCGCTCCACTGTGAGCGGGATGCCGATTTCTTCAACATTTGGAAGAATGGAGAGCATTTGTCTGCTGACCTTGGGATGAACCGACTTAGAGCGGCCATTTTTCCGTTGAACGCTTGAATTTCTTTAACTGTTTGCGGCGGTCTTAGGCTTGTTATGGCTTCTATCTGTTTTGGTTAGCTTCTATGCCTCTGCTTGTGATCATGAACCCTAGGAACTTCCCTGCCTTGGCCCCAAACACGCACTTCAGCGGGTTTAACCGTAGGCGCTCTTTTCTCAGACTCTCAAAAGTCTCCTTCAAGTCCTTCAGGTGGTCCGCCTCCTTCCTACTCTTTACCAAGACATCATCAACATATGCCTCCACATTCCTTCCCAGTTGGCTTTTGAAGACCGCATCGATCATTCTCTGGTACGTTGCCCCGACGTTCTTCAAGCCAAACGGCATGACCGTGTAGCAAAAGTTTCCCATGTGGGTCATGAAAGTTGTCTTTTCCTGATCTTCCTCAGACAAGCAAATCTGGTGATATCCTGAGAACATGTCCAAGAAACTAAGGCTTTCATTATTGGCGGTCGCGTCGATCAGCTGATCTATTCTTGGCAATGGGTAGGCGTCCTTTGGGCAGGCCGCATTCAGATTTGTGAAGTCTATGCACATTCACCATAGCCCGGACGCCTAGCGGACGAAAACAGGGTTTGACAGCCAAGTAGGATACTTGACTTCTCTAATGAAACCAGCTTTTAACAACCGCCTCACCTCTTCCTCCAAGGCCATTTGCTTTTCCAGGGATGCTGTTCGCCTCCTCTATTGGATGGGCGGGGGTGCCCCCCTCGTGTGTCCACCAAGTCTACCTCCAAGCTTTCTATCGTTGCTTGGTAGCACTCCTTCGCTTGCTTCGTGTTTCCCTTAACCCGTCCTACTCTTCCCGCTACGGGAAACTTGAGCATCTGGTGGCATGTTGACAGGACCGCGGAAAATAGCGATAGGAAACCACGTCCCAGGATTGCGTTGTATGCCGACGGGCAATCTGCGACGTGAAATTCCATGGTGCGCATCTTCGTCACATCTCCCTCTCCAATTGTTACTTGTAAGGCGATCATGCCTAGAACTCTGATTTTTGATCCCGAGAACCCCACGAGGCTCGTCGTCGAGGGTTTCATATCCCGCATGCTCATCTTCATGCTTTTTTGCGTGGAGTAAAACAGTATGTCTGATGAGCTTCCATTATCCACCAACGCCCTTGTGACTTTGAATTTCCTGGTTCTTAAGGAGATGACGAGTGGATCTTCTGCGCTCTCATCAGGCGCTAGCTCAGAGGGTGAGAAATTGATGTCCACTTGTTCCCCTCTATTGACGTTCAGACATTGAACTAGGCGGTCTCCTTCACTCCTAGGTCGCTTCCGACCGCCTGCGATGGTTATAACTTCTACGTCATTCTCATTCAGCCGGGGCTGACGCTGAGGTGACCTTCGGGGTGGTAGTGGTAGGAGGTCGCGCCGTGGGGATCTCTCTCTCCTCGGCGATCTTTCTCTCCTCGGCGATCTTGATCTTCTGCGCCTAGGTGTACGCGACCTTCTTTTCGGGCTCGGTGACCTCTCTCTGTGGTGCCTTTCCTCTTGACGGTGGGGACGTGTATCTAGGCGGCTTTTGAGGTCTCCAGGTGCCAAGTATTTCAGACTGGCCCTGAACTCCCGACACTCTACGGTGTCGTGGGTGGGAGTTTGGTGCCAGTCGCACCATTTTTGATCCTCTTCCCTCCTATGCGTCTGGTGCGCATTGCTGTTGTCGCCTCTCCTTTCTCTCCCTTCTTCTTTACTGGCGGTGTAAACTTCCCTTCGATTGTCACGGTGGAAAAACCGCGGCTTATAGTTGCGTTTTTCCGGAGACCGCCCTCTTCCCTTGGGCGATTCTCCTTTTTCCCTCTCTGGTCTTTCCTTCACGCTGACACGCTTAGCGGCGTCCTCCACTATCATGGCTTCTTCCAACAGGATCGCCTTTCTCACTAGGCGGTCCAGATCAGGCCATTCCTTCAGTGCATGCTCCTTCTTGATGAGCGCTCTTCGTAGCTCACAGCTGTGTGTTGACATGCGTAGGTTCCCCGCTGCTACACTTGGTGATATCCCCTGCACTTCACACGCTATGGCGTTCCACCATTCATAGAAGTTGGTCAGCGTCTCCTCTCCGCCTTGCTTGCAGTTGATTAGGGCGGGGACGGTTAGCTTCCTTCTTCGCTGGGACGCAAACTTGGAGGAGAAGAGGGTGGTGAACTGTTCAAAGTTTTCGATTATTCCCTCGGGAAGGGAGGTGTACCAGGTTCGACAGTGCCCACCAAACGTTACCGGGAATGCTTTACACAGATCGGCGTCTGTGGCGTTGATGAGCTGCATTTTCAGTATGAAGGCGCTCAGGTGGTCGGCGGGATCAGAGCTTCCGCTGTAAGTTGGCAGCCCGAGTGATGAGAAGTTCAATGGTACTTGAGTTCTAAACAGACTTTTGGCTAGAGGGTTTTGTAGGATGTTGTGGGTCTTTGCGCCCCCGTATGTGGGCTTAAGATGTTCCTCCAGGAATCCAAGGCTGTCACCTTCCGCTCCTTCTTCATCGTTCGACTCCCCGCCTTCTGTCGGAGCAGGGCTGTCGGGGTCTTTGTCTCTTCCTTTTCCTTTGGCTGTTCGCTTCCCTGAACTTTCTGGGGCCTCGCCTTCCTTTTCTTTGAGCATGGCCAGGATTTGGCTCAAGCTCTCTTGCATGCTTGATATCTGCTGCCCTTGACTTTTTACGCGGTCCTCCATCTCCATCTCTTCCTCCACCACGGGCATTTCTAACCCGCGGAGGCCGCCTGTCGCGATCTCTTGGCTACGGAAGCCATCTCCCCTGACAACGTCTTTAACAGGAGTATTGGAGCTCCCGTCCATCCTTTCTTCAGTGCCTCTCTTGCCCCACGGTGGGCACCAAATTGTTTGAGCCTAGAATGTTCCAGGCGATTGTGTGCAGAGCAAGCAAGGCGTCTGTTCCGGATGAAGGGTGCACTCCAACTCCTACAAAACAAGGGTCCGTGGGCGGTTCCCAGGACACCCTCCAATGCCTAAGTTAGAGAGAGAATAAGAAGTGTTGTTTAGGTTTAGATAGAGAGAGAGTAGTTGAGTTACCATTAATGCCGATACCGGTGTATTTATAGTCAGCCAGCTTAGGTATGAGGCATTAAATGCCTTGTCAGGCGGCCTAGACATGTTCGACTTTATTTGGACCGCCTACGGCGGGCATTAAATGTTCAGTCGTGCTGTGTACGAGGTAAGTATCCTAGGAAGATCTACTTTTCCTGACACCAACGGTCTCCTGTGTCAGGCGGCCTACTTCCCGTCACTGCATAGGGCGGCCGCCTGTGGTGTCTCTTTTCCCCATGTCTCCTCGGGTCTCGCTCTTTGACTCGGTCCCTTTCTTGGGCTCAGCCTCTTTGTCTCCTCGTGGGCCTACGCGGGCCTCTTAGGCCCAATACTGCTTAACTATGGGCCCAACAGTTAGTAAAGAAAATAGCTAACAAGGTGTGTAACAAGCTCGTAACAAGTCAGTTGCGAGGTCCTATGAAGCACATGTTGGGTGCTCGTTGTGAGAGTTGATTCTCTCTCCTTCCTAGAATGAGAGGCATGCATTTCACCTTCAAGTGAAACTGCCGTTTTGCCCCATTACCGATATAATAAAGCCAATCCATCCGTGCGTCTCAAACCAGTACCAGTAGTCCAGTGCAATTTTGGTATAACAAATAGCAGTGGCAAGTTTGGTCTTCAATCATTGCGATTTGCGTGTTGAGCTTATGCTGATGAAAGTGTAGCTTGTGTAGTTTTGTTCTGGCTTTCACATTGATCAACGCCATAATTTAATTGATTATATTATAGATTATACCTTTTTGTTGGCAAGGCTTCGCAGTAATTACTCGACCATGTATTGGGTAAATACAATATATTAGCCGCAACTATAAGTAGTGGAGAATAAAAGCTACAACTATGAAAATACTAATTATTAGCCCTAAATCCCTAACTAATGTTGCGCGTAACCGGATGACTAATAGTCCGTTACCGTTATTAACTTTGTAACGTAGAAGGCCACGTCAGCAACCACGTCATATTAAATTTTATTTATAATTTTCAACCATTAAAAAATAAAAACAAAAACAAAATGGAGCTAAACGTTTTCTTCCCCTCATCTTCTCCTTCGCGACCTTCTTCCGGACTGCTCCGCCTCGCTGTCGCTTCTGCATCCGTCGTCGGTCATGAACCAATCTCTAGCGTCGCCTTCATCCCTCCTCCTCCGCTCATCTCAGAATCCTGCCTAGATCTCGTCCACTCCCCCTTCCACCCATCTTCGGCGACGGTAACCGGACAGTCTTCACAAACTTCTGAATCAACTCCCGATCAACATACACCTGAATCTCAGCCTCGATCTTGATTGCGAGCTGGTAGGTTCTATAAATTTCTCAGCGGCGGGAGGAGACGTCGGCGGCGAAAGGCATGGCTCGTCAAAGGGTTACGCCACTCCTCTCTAGCTCCCTCTACAATTCTAGATCTAGATCCCCTCCCCAGCTTGTGGACTCATTGAATGTATTGAACTGGAGATTTTCTATTCCTTGTCAATCCATCGTGTTTTATATGTGCTATTGAGATCTGAATTTCGATTGCTTTCTTTATTTGCTTAGCTTGACGGTTTTGGCTTGGGGGCTTCGCTTTGGAATCAATTGGACTATTTTTTCAGTGATCGGATATCTCTGTGTTGTGTGGTTTTCGTATCAGTTATTGCTTCAATGAGTTTCAATGGGTTTCGCTCCGAGCAGCTGGTGATAAGTGCCTAATTGGGTAGATTGGATCAGAGAAAGCACAACAATCGAATTCAATCAAGGATTGAATTGAATTCGAAAATTAAACCTCGAAAATAGAGTTTCAAGCTCGTGTTTGGGATGATGATTTTGTGCAACTTTCTCATAGGGAAAGAGGCTCGAAAACTTAGGGTAGATGCTTGGCCACGATAAGTGGGATTAACTGAACGATACAAGCTAGAAAATCTCACC